AAAATACACTGCTGAGGGGAGCAGCAGGCAAGACAGGAGAGGTCTGCTGCACTGTGTGGGTCAGCTCCCTGGCCAGGAATTGAACTCATGCTACAGTGGCTTGCTATAGCTTGATAGCACTGAGACCTTAACCCCTGCCCCACCAGGAAGGCCCTTATCACCTGAATTCTTAGAAACATATCCTTCTTCCAACTATTATTTACTATTCATATTCTAGCCTTTAAACAGAACCCAATTATTTCTCTGTTCATTTTATATAAATGCACTGCTACATTCGTGGAAAGGAGTTGTTCTTCCCTTGTACCACCTAAAAGTCCCTCAGGGAAGCCATGGTTTTGGTCTGAGTCACATGTAGCTTAGGGCTTAGATCCGCTATACATAAACCATATGTGAAAACCTTCCCACATTTAAAAAACAATACCTTACTAGAAATTCAGGACTGTGTGAGGTAAACATCACTTAAACTTTTTACTCCAAGCTTCCAGGAAGAAACCCTCAAAGTGCATTTCATTGCACACACATTTCCTTCTTCCTGTGGAAATGCATCTCAATGGTTATTCAGATCATAAAGACTGGGTTTGTATTTCCAAATTCTTAAAGGACTATGATTCTACAGGATCCCCAATTTATATTTGTAGCAGCTTTTAAAGAGTCACAAAAATGCCCTTGAAAAAAAATGTCATTAATAAAATATTCAATTGGATATTTTAGTATATCTACAAAACACAGAGTTGGAGTCTAGCCTTTCAGAAATAACATTGCAATTTAGCAAAAATAGATCTATTCACTGATTATTGACTTTTTTTAAAATTTGCTTTGTAAAAATTTAGAAGCTTTCAGTGAGAGAAAATGAGAGGCCAGAATGTGTAGAGAACTGAGGCTTTTTCTCTTCCAAGCTAATTCATATTCTCTGACTTGGCACACACCCAGGATGCCAGAGCTTCACTTGTGTTCACACTCCCCATTGTGTAGTGATTTCACACTGAGAATTTCAGTTCCTACACTGGGAAATGGGAGGACAGTTGGAGTGACAAGCTCCCGTTGCCATAGCAACCCAGTGGTCCATTCACTTCATCTCTTCCTTTCCTGCTGATCATGACTGATGACCTGAGTAATTTTATGAAAGGAACAAGTTCACAATCCCAGAGTCAGAGAATCCAGTCATTTGTGGGAGAAACAGGCAAGGATTCCTAAATGATAGATAAAAGAGGAGAGTGGATAAAAGGAGGGAGAGAGAGAAGGAGGGGTAGTGGAAATGGAAGAGAGAAAGGGAGGGGTCATGATGATTTAATTATTGTCCTGTTATTTGACCACTTGGACCTACACACCTGAAGACATTTGAAGCAGGAAGCCAGAGAGACCTAGAGCTCCCTCTTGAGTTCAGACCCTATTAAAGACTTGAGGAGCTTTAGTGCAAATGACAGTTCAGTGCCAGGCACAGACCTGCAGTTCATTAGGTGTGTATGTAAAGGAGAATGATTCAAATACTATGCTAGGCAATGGGTATATCACGCAAATTCCTGGTCCTCAACTTAATCACAGACAATATAAGAGCCATGTGTTTTTTAAAAATTTATTTATTTGTGCATACAGATTGGGGTACAGGCCAGATGTTCAGGGGTGGTGAGAAGATTCACCAGAGACAAAGTGGGGAGCAGAATAGGCAGATCAAGGAAATATACCGCTGAGAGAAGCATCAGGCAAGACAGGAGAGGTCTGCTGTGCCATGTGGATCATCTCTGGGGCCAGTGATCGAACTCCCATTGAAGTGGCTGCAGCTAGCTTGCACCATCAGGGAGAACCCACAAGAGCCATATTTAAGAAAAAATCCATACTGTGGTATTTCAAGTAGTATATATATTGTACATGTTTATGTACTTATCATTTGCCAAAGGACTAAGACAACTTAGAAAATTAGATGATACAAAGAAGGAAGATACAAATTAGAAGGCCAGAGTACTGTGAAAAATGAGCAGGAAGATAATTATATTTCTGATAAGATTAACACAGGAAATTGGTAGGATTTTATCATATTAGATACTAATTTGACTTTGAGATTCTTAATTATCAAAAAAAATAGGGGGAATCATTGATAACAACATTCAAGTGTCAGAGTGATAGGAAACTAGTTCTTTGCTAAAACACTGCAAGTTTTAGAATACAAATACAAAATAGCGTCTCTAGATGGTGATGGTCAAAAGTAACATGTGAATGTCATCCTCAACAATGTCACCTGAGTGAATAATGTACCAGTTTCCAGGAGAGTGAGTCCTGTCGCTTATGACACTGGAAAGCACATCACAGCCCCCTTCAGCAAGAGCAACCGATCTAGAAGCAGGATGATGTCGTTCAACAGCATAGCTATGTCATGAATTGAATCCATGGGAAGACAGACAAAGCGACCGGGGAATGTTCAGATAAATACCCTCTATTTGTGCAATTTCTCACAATGAGCTTTTGATGAAAATGGATCTGCCATGATCGCTGGCCACACAGAGATACTCTGTGTTTCTGAGGAAGGGTAAGATCCCTGTAGTTTGACCCTTCCTCAAACAAGGGGCGTAATTAAGCTTTCTTTTATAAATGATGTACACATTTCATTATTCCTAGAAATTGGAAATAAATACATAGATTTTGGTAGTGTGGGTACATGACAGTATGTAAAGTGATAAGAATGGATAGAATCACTGCTGGTTAATAAAAAAAAGAGAAGTGGGATTGAAAAAACAGGTAGAAGAGATTTGCAAGTATTTGATTCCAACCAAAGAGCCAAGAAGCCGTGCGGAGACAATCTGTGTTCTTGCATTTGCAGAATATATGGTTGACTGCAGGCCTCTTAGGGTAAATATTCTTGATTAGATGGAGTTTGCCTTAAGGAAATTTATTGCCTCATTTGTTCATCCCAGAGCTGCCAAAGCAGCAGAATCGGAATTCTGCAGATTTTCTGACTATATATAAAAAATCTCTTACCACCTTTTCCAACCTTCTCCAGCTCTTCCACTCTCCTTCTTCCTCACAATAGGAAAGTCTCTTAGGTTTTCAGTGGGTAAGAGACATAGGAATGTTTTTATCAAAATATTATGTGATAGTAAAGACTACATTAAAGGAAATTTTTACTTTATGGTCAAAGCAAATTCATTTTGTAACAGGACCAGGCATTGGAGAAATTCAGTAATCTTAAAATCCTACTGTCCTCTAACACATCTTGCTACCAGTTGCATTAAATATAGGGGGAGGGATATGGATTAATGCTACCACAGAGATTTAGTCAGCAAGAATTGGAAATGAGCTTGAATACTTCTGTCACAACCAATACCGCTTTTTATTGGATGTCTTTGACTTTGACTATGGCAATGAAGAAGCCATGAAGCTGTGAAGCCTATTTGGACAACTGATATTAGTGATTTTATTGTAAATTAAAGTTTAGTTTCCGTTTACACACATATGCATGTAATACCCGCAGGTGTGTATCTATGTGATTATACATATACCAAATGTGTCTCTGCATATGTGTGTGCATGTATGTGTATATAGCTATCCTCAAAATGTTGTTCTCTGGGTATGTTTGACCTACTCTTAAACTCGCGGGTTCAGTTGCTCATCAGATCCTACTTAGGTTCACCCACTAGAATGGCTTGGATTCTCTGTTCACACCATGTGTTTGGTACTTGCATGAGGTGCTGGGGGGGTGGAAGATATTGGGAAAATATTCTTTGTTCAGGGAGTTGGTGTGCTAGATGGAGGGTCATTAGCATGATGCTGTGTGGGGAAATCCCCATTGTGGCATTCTAAATTTACCTCTTTTGAAAAATATAGGCTGGCAGAAATTGCACACTCGCTTCTGAAGCTGGCACCATATGATACCCAGACAATGGAGAGCCGTGGGCTCCGGCGCTACATCATGGAGATGCTTCCCATTACAGACTGGACAGCAGAGGCAGTGAGGCCAGCCCTTATCCTCATTTTAAAGAGATTGGATAGAATGTTCAACAAAATTCATAAGATGCCTACTTTGAGGTGAGAAGGCCTCCTGTCAGATGTTGATATTGCAAGCCTCCAAATTAGGGATGGTCATGTTTTAAATGGTGGATCAATCTGGACTTGCAGGTTTTCTGTTGGTGTATGAGCATAGCTAATCAAGTATATGAATGAATAGGTAGCAGGGGCTACCCTTGGAGGAAGTACCGTTTTTTACAAATGTATTTGTTTATTCTGAAAAATCTACTCATGTCTTAGTTATCACATTCTTTACCTGACACATAAGAAATTCAACAAATATCCTATTACTCCTTTTGAGATAGGGCAGGTTATTCCTTAGAAATAAAAAAAAAAAAAAAACTAAGGAAAGAAGGAAAATTAAATTGCTCAAAAAATATTCTAGTTCTGTATTCAATGTAGTATTTTAGGTACTAGCTAAGACACATGCTAAGCCTTATGATAACCAACCAAGCAGCAGCCTTAAAAAACATGGGGTTAATAACAAGTGTTATTTTCACTTTTTTTACCTAATTCACATAGCACTAAGTCAACATTAGTTCCACTTTCTCTCTGTTCAGTCAATGCACTATCCAGTAGAAGCCTCCCTGTGAGCCTCTGATGCCTCTGAACAAATCTACCTGGAGATCTGAGCTCAGTGTGGAGACCTGTAGTCATAGTGAGTGTATCATAGTGAGCCCCATTGATAAATATCAATAAACACGCTAATTTGTAAATTTCAAGGGTGGGTTACTGAGAACCCAAAATCAATGTGAATCTTACCCAAGAACGTGTAGCATTTAGTGTTGAATTTGTCAGCACTTCTGCAGGGTTTAGCCTGTGTTATTTATTCACTCATCATGATTTGCTGAATTTAAAAAAAAGAGCTAGATTTCACTCAACCGATTGACAGTTTGTTCCTATCTCTTTTCAAGCCATGAAGACAAATGCTTCTACATCGGTTCAAATTTAGTTGTTTCAGTGGCATGATGGCTTGCCTCTTAAAGCACCCCTATTTCATACATATTATACTGTATGTTGACACACTCTGAGAAGGTAACAGGGATTTAGAAAACTGCTCATTTTTTTGCTAATGGTTTTCTGAAGATAAGACATAAAACAAGGAAGCATTGAGCACTGAATGCTCCCAATGGAACATTTGTGCCCACTGGCAAATGGCCAGCCACAGTCTTTTAAGTCTTACGAAAGTGTGTGTGCCACAAAAAGTCAAGTGACTTTGTGTCTTAAGACATTAAGCACCTCCTTAGGCTGACTCATTTGGCTTATAAATTAGGTCCTCTATAAAGAACATCATCTTTCCTAAAGTAGATTTCTATTCAGGGTGTAGACTTAGGGTGTATGTTGTGAATTGGGGTTGCCTGGAGTGTAATTTCTTCAGGTAATCTCAATTCAACAAAAGCAGTGTGGACTGGACTTGAGTAACTTGGGCATCAGTTATGTCCATATAGCTTCATTTATGAAAATCCTCATTTTGTCACTTCAGATACCTCACTTTGGTAGGAAGAACACATTCAAAAATTATTTTTAGGATAGCATTTGGAATAGTGTTGTCAATAAAGCTCAATATGTCTGTTTGGGAGGCACAAGCATCAGTCTTTCATACTGAGACTATTGCCTTTATATAGACTAGGATGACTTTTATTCCAGAAAACCTCATATTCATCTAACTAGGTTATCTATACCACCATTTATACTACCACAGAAAGTAGCTCAAAATCTCTTCAGGAGGCTAAGGAAGAATACTTTTGAAATAGTCTATTTTCTTCTAATGTGATCTTTGGGGCAACAGTTAAGCCGTATGTGGCCTGGTGTAAAAGCTAATGAGATCAACTCGAGCGTGGTAAATAGATTTCAGAAACGCAGGCTAGGGCAAAAATAGTTTGATTGAGTCATCACCCCTGCGATTGGTTTCCTAAACAGGTAGTCTTATACCCACTCTCAGGCTAAAACCAGGGACTTAAATGCAACCCGTTCATCATCTCTGTTTTTTTCTTCAAAGGATTTTGTCTCATTAGTCGAGTGGGGCAGGAGTGCCTCTGAAACGTTTTCAGTATCTTCTTCCCTTCCCAGTGTGCTCTGTGCTTTGGGAACAACATGGGTAATCTTCATCCCGTGTGAAGCACTTTGTTGTCTCAGACACCCATCCTGTCTTCGATGGTGTCAGAATCACTGTCTCGTTCACTTGTGTCAGACTGTCTCCAGGGGGGAGCCACGCTGCTAACGGCTCCTATATTGTGTTCCAGGCGACAGGTTGAGTGGGAGCCTGCCAGCAATTTGATTGAAGGGGTTTGTTTGACACTTCAGAGGCAGCCAGTCATATCCTTCCTGCCTCACCTTAGGTCACTGATCAATGTCTGTGTCAATCTGGTGAGTAGCCAAGTGGCAATCTTATGAAACTTTGCAACATTGAACTCTGCTATTGACTTCTCTGAATTGAAGATTTACAGGTCAACCACTTTGTGCCCCTACCTTCCCAGGAAAGCAGACGGCTCAGGTGACACCGAAAATAGTGAGGTACATTGCAAGGTGGTGCGTGGGGAGGTAAAGGGCCCATCCCTACACAGGTGGGATTTTGGTGTGCTGCTTCCCACGCACTACTTTGACAATTCACCTCTTAAGTTGCGCTGAGAGTTGAGGGCTGCCAGTTGGAGAGTGGGGTGGTGGGACTGCAATTAATTGGCTAGCAGCAGGAAGTCGGGTGTGGAGGAGTTTAAAATACCAAAAAGGATTTTTTTCTTTCATAGTGCAAAATGACACTACCAGTTGGCCAGTCTAGGATTGATGTGAAGAAAAAAATTTTTTGATCGTTTACGTAATATCTAGAGTCTGGTCCTGACAAGGTTTTGTACGATGTGGAAGCCATGTTAAAGCATTGCATTGAGTAGGATCTGCTGCTTACCAAGTTGAGCAATAGATCTGTAGCTGGAATGCCTAGTGCAAATAAAGCTGTTGCCATCATCATTGTCCTCAGTATTTGCTCCATCAAAGAATGTTGACTGCATTCCTTTGAATCCACAAGTAAGTATGTTCCGTCTCCTAATTAGAATAGTTTCTGGCTCATCTCTCATTATTTACATAGTTAGCTATAAACAACATTCTACAAAACCTTGACTGAATCCAGTGTAATATTCGATCTGACTCCAGACATTACATGCCTTCAGAAGGCGGCAACAAGAATAGCTTGCAAAGTAACATGCCCAACCTTCAAATTACTATTATTATTATCATTATTCTTATTACTATTGAATGAGACTCCCATTCTATGGTTGCATGAAATTGCATAGTCAAGGCTGGTCATGTGCTCTGTTTGTATTTCAGGTGATGGGAGTGGTAGGACCTTCCAGTGTTGCTGACGGATTACCCCTTCTTCATCTCAGCCCTTATCTCTCACCACCTCTGCCCTTCAGCACAGCTGTTGTCCGGCTTGTAGCATTGCAGATACAGGTGTGACTGCGTTACCTGTTTGTCACGCTCATTAAGTTGCTGGTGGAGGCACCAAATCATGGTGGTCTCTTTTTTTTTCTGCAAAGGCTGGGCAAAATCTGTGAAACAAAAGTATTAACATCTCCAAACTTTTATAGGTTTGGAGCTTCAGCCCTGAGCTTGGCCCTAAGTTGTGCTTCTGTAATTCTTCTTGAGATCTCAAAAATAGCAGAGTCATTTAGTCGTGCCACAAACTTAGGAACCACTTTGGTCATTTATAATGTGTGCAAATACTTGGGGAAACTAAGGATTTACATAATCAGCCCACAATTGTTAATTAAGAGAGGCAGTCATATTCAAAGTCTGGTTTTAAATTATTTGCAGAAGAAATTGCAATATGAAATTTTTTGCCAAAGTTAATACTAGACTTTGAATATCTTAATTTCCTTTAATGATTGTGGGTTGAGTATCATGGGTGCCTTTTTAATATTTTGCCTGTTGTTTTCTTTCCGAAATAATCATTGCCAGTGCAAAGAGTACAGGATGTCAATTCCCCTGCCTACTTCTGTGTGTCACCAAATTTTAGAGAGTGGTGAATCATCAGAAAGCTCTGTGACTAGCAAGAAATATACCATCCGTGTAAATAAATAATAGACTCATCCATCATCTGATAACCAAGTTTGAAGTTCCATCATCCAGAGAATGGTTAGGTGATAGAATAGAGATTCAGACGCACCGAGACTACTGTGCAAAAGAGATCTATTTTAATGATGTGTGTTGAGATCATTTATTTCTTTCTCTGTTGTTGATTGCTTTCTAGCTCGGAGAAGGCCTTATGCAGGCATCAAAGGACTTTTATTTTACTTTTCTTTTAAGATTTTTATTTACTTATTTTTGTGTAGAAGAGCTGGCGTGGAGGCAAGAGGAGGGGGTGGGGGATGAGAGAATTCACCAGAGATAGAGCGGGGAGCAGAGCAAGTGGATTTACGGAAATACATTGCTGAGGGGAAGAGCACAAGACAGGAGAGGTCTGCTGAGCTATAGGTGGGTCACCTCTCTGGCCGGGGATCTAACTCAGGCCATCGCGATGATAGGGCTGACACTATAGCCAGTAGGCCACCAGAGTGGCCCCTTAAGGGACTTTTAAATGACTCCAAAGGGAGCAGGTGGCACTTCCTTTTGTTGTCTCTAAAATAATTCTTGGTGGACAAATGGTAAAAATGAATAAGAAAACGTGGTTGTTTTTGTGCTAGACCATGCAAATTATAATATGCCCTTTAATATCTAAGATGTTACTGTCTTTTAGGTATGTAGCTCTCAATTATGTCAAGCAAATGGTAAAGTACCAGTTTTGAGTGAAACTTGCATGCTGCCCAGGTAACAAATCAAATCATAGTTTACAGGAGCAGCCAGCAGGGAGTCACCGTCTCCATTCTGCTGTGTGAAACATACTGAATGGGTGTGGGGGTCAATTAATCTTTTTTTTCTATCATTGCTGCACAGGCTTTAAAAGAAGATTTCCCCTTAAGCCATGTGATCTCCCCATTCACCAACCAAGAGCGAAGGGAGGGGATGCTTTTAAATCTGCTCATCCCATTTGTGCTCACAGTAGGATCTGGAAGCAAAGGTCTGATTAATTTAACTAAAGGAAATTTATCATTGTTGTGTTTTCTTAAAAGTCAGGCTGTTATTCTTTTTTCTTTTCTCCATGAAGGCCATCTCTGAAGTGAATCTGAGTCATTTAAACAGAATTACTTTAGGAAGTCAACTTTTCCTTTCTATTCATTTTAGCTACCCTGGGCCAGAATTTCTCTGCTCCACGACTTAAATGATACATCCTAATTAAAATCATATCAGTGCAGCCAACGTCAGGAGAACATTGTTTCAATTAAGAAAATGGTGTTAATTAAAGTTCAGTCTGATGAGGAGTGATCATTGAATGGGTTTTAAAAACCTATCGCCAGGTTTAGCACAAATCCTGCCATTCAACCCTCATTCAATTCCAGCATATTTTCATTACTTTTCTTTCTTGGGGGATTTTTCCTTTAGGAAAAATTTGTCTCGAATGTAAGGACAGTACATTATAAGTGTGTGAGCAGAAAAAATGAAAGCGATTGAAATGGTAAGCGGGAGCTTTGGCTAAGAACATGATTCTGGGGGCCAGCTACAGAGAAAACACCAGGTACAGGAGCACTTTCTGTCAGATGAGAAACTGACATTGGTGGGAAAGCACCTGCATTTCTAGGGTGTTCTAGTTTGGCATTGGAAAGAGAGCTGAATTTGTTTGTGTCTAATGTGCAAAGTCTTCCTTGCGACTTTTCTCTCTGCTTCCCTTCTCCAAACTCTGTCCCTCAGATAGCCCATGGCTGGAGCAACCTGAGGTCCAGCTGCTGCTACAGACGGTTATTAATGTGCTCCTGCCCCCTCGGATCATCAGCACGTCCAGGAGCAAGAACTTCATGGTGGAGAGCTCCCCCGCCCACTGTTCCACCCCTGGGGATGCTGGGAAAGACTTGCGCAGGGAAGGACTCGCAGAGTCTACCAGCCAAGCTGCGTACTTGGGTGGGTATTCTTCCTCCCTCCATGGCCATCTATGTGCGTGTGCATGTGTATGGCTACCCAGATGCACTACTTAGCCGTGTTCTACTTTGACTGAAAAAATATTTTCAAAGACCTTGATCCAGAAAGTAGGTGAAAAAGCCACTTGAACAAGTGAAAAGCATCTGCCTCCCAAGAATGCCTGGGTTCCTTCTGTAAACATATTCTAAAAAAGGAAGTATTTTCATCTCTGTGATGCCTAAATTACTTGGTTGTTTTTCAGAAGTGTGCTTGTGCTTATGAGGCAAGCATCTGCAGTAGGAATTCTTCCTCACTGATGAAGTAGGAGATCGCTCACGTGGTTCTCATAGGAAGCTGTTACCAGATGTAGACTCCATGGTGTGCATGGACATTGGCCCCCGGGGCTGACTGCCCATCACCCATGAGAATGAAACCCTGCAGCTTAACAGGCCACAGCCTGTGCAACAGGACATGGTGGCCTCAGAGTAGATCGTGCCCTACCAGCTGTTTTCCCTGACAAGTGTATCCTTCACTCCCCAGGTGTTCTTCATTCCAGGGAGACCACTCAGAGACTGCTCGCCCTAGTCATCCTGAACTTATCCACTCCCTTCCTCCCTCAACTCCTACTTTACCTTTACCCTACCATGCCTGTCCAGGCAGCCCTGAGCACTGCAAAGCCACTCTTGCCCCATGCACTAAGCTGGGGAGAAAGTCCACGCTCACCATGGCACTGAGAATAAAGATCACTGGCAGCAGGAAATCTGAAAAAAGTGAAAGTTGATACATCTTGCCTGATGTTTGTCTATTCACCAGAGCAGATGTTGGTGGGGAGTATAATATGAAAATGATACATGAGTAAAAAGGTCCTTGGAGTGTGGAGTGGGAGCCCGGGACAGTATTTGGACTGCATTACAAATGCTTAATTTGAAAATGATGTGATTGACAACGAGGATGTAGAAAGATCTACACCCATGGGGTTGAGTTGCCTGAGACATGAGGAAATCAACTCAAAATCTAGACACAGGGCCCTCCCTGGTGGCACCAAAGGGTTAAAGCACAGCACTATAGAGCTATCTGCAGCCACTGCAGCACAAGTTCGATCCCTAACCAGGGAGGTGACCCACATGGCGTGGCAGACCTCTCCCACTGGTCCCCTCATCAGTGTATTTCAGTACGTCTGCTTGTTCTGCTCCCCACTCTGTCTCTGGTGAATCCTCATAACCCCTGCACCTCTGGCCTGTACCCCAGTTCTGTATACGTAATAAAACAAATCAATAAATCTTAAAAAAAAAATCTAAACACCAACAAAGAGCCCTGCAAAATATTGGGGGCTGTTGAGAGGATGATGGGGACAGAGGGATTCCTGTGTAAGAAGAGGAAAGAGGAAACACTTCATGAGTGAATATCTTTTGTCCTCTCCACTTTCTACCTTTTTGACGAGGGAGGGTATTTTGATTACTTGGCCAGACTACTGGACCTCTAATTTGTATTTACTTTTACATTGATTTCAAGCACCTACTACACTAAGCAGTGTTTTCTATACTTTATAGTCTCCTCACATAGATTTCTCATCATTCAAAGAAGGAAATGTTCTCATTTTAGGGGCAAAAACTCTTAAGGCCCAGAAAGGTTCAGTAACTAAGCAAAAGTCACAAAATCAGTAAGTGGCAGAGTCAGCTTTCAAATTCAAGTCTTTTGACATCACTAATATGTGATATATAGAGAAACTAAGAGTCTGGTAAAGACAAGTTGAAGGACCATCCCTTCATAGCTGATAACAGAATGGAAGCATCAGGAGAAGGGAGGTAGGGGAAGTGGTAAGAACAAAGGAAGGGAGCAGCATGTCTGCGGACTATGGTTAATTGAGTGGTGGATGCACTATCGTGGCAATATCCAAATACTACCTCCATGAAAAGTTGACTATTTAATTTTAAAGTAACTTAAGCCAAGGCATGAGATATCAAAGTTGCTGCTTGTAAGCCCCTCACTGCATTGCTTTTGTGTTGCAAAAATCCAGAATACCAACAGGTGCATAATAGCAGTAGAAGAATCTCAGGTTCAAGTTAAGGAAAGGGGAGTATGGCTTTCTGTTATTTTTGTTTGTTTGTTCATATGTTTTTTAGTTAAGGAGAAGGAATGGAGATGAGTGATTATTATGAAAAATGAATTTTAAGGAGGAAGATGGGTAAGGAAGAATCTTACAACACCTTGTTGTAAGAAATGCCCTCACCATGGTAAAGGTAGAAGTGAATTTGGAGGGTTTGGGGGGCTTGGATTTCTGAATGTCTTTAATACACAAAGATAGGTCTTGAGACATGATCCAAAAGACCCAGGACTACCTTGTTGCCCCCAGGCTGACTGTGGGGAGAACTGGGTGACACCAGAAGCTCCCACCATAATCTCTGACACATTCACAACATTCCAGCCTGTTCTGACACATTGTTCAGGAAATCTGCTTCCTGAAAGATAAATCACTAAATGTAAATGGTAACAGGACTACCAGAATCTGAGAGAGATACCATGAAGGACTGCAACAGGGTTTAGCAACATGCAGGATGTGGAGGGAGGGATGGAGTCTTTTAATCTGGAAGGATACACTCAAATACTATGCTGGTTACCTCCGGAAAACAGTTTGGGTCGGTTTGGGAAAGGGAAGGTTTTTTTTTTTTAATTTTGTTCATCTCTGTATGTCTTTGTTTTACTTTTATTAACAAAATCATATTATTTCTATACTTAAAAGAAAAATATTTTAAAGTGTTCATATTTTAGCTTAAGTGAGAGCTATACAGGTATTACCATAAAGTCACTATGAGACACTTTCTGAACACAGAATATTAGCCACACATGATATTTGCAACACATTTCCCCATCATTCCATGAGCTACTTTGCTCTGTCCTTTCCAAAACTGTAATTAAGTGCACTTAAGAAAGATATTTGTGTTCTCCTAGTCAGAATCACAACATCTTTGCTAGACACAAATCTGTGACTTGACGCCATAACTCCCTCATTCAGGAATACATGTGAGTTTATTGAGAGAAGGGAAAAGCTTAGAAATTTTGAAAAGGTTCTCTCTCATGCATGAAGGTTGTGAGATAGGTAGCTGGAGGTGGGCGGGCTTCCTCCTACTGCAGTGTAAAGCAACTCACTTTTCTTTTTTCCTGGTGTGAAGCTTTGAAGGTGATTCTCGTCTGCTTTGAGAGGCAGCTGGGATGCCAATGGTACTGGCTGAGTCTTCAGGTGAAGGAAATGGCGCTGCGGAAGGTGGGCGGCCTGGCTCTGTGGGACTTCCTGGACTTCATCGTGCGAACCCGAATCCCCATCTTTGTGCTTTTGCGCCCTTTCATCCAGTGCAAGGTGTGGTGTGAGGGTCTCCTCCAGCAGTTAAGGCAGATAGAGCAGGAGGGCTTGTGGGAAGCACTGTAGAGCCAGTTAGTAGGAACCGTTAGCAACAGCCCCCAAAATGTGCCCCAGAGGATAGCTTTTCATGTTAGAAGTACTTTCACAGTCTCAGAGTCTATAAAATCCTGGCCTCTCCACTGAACAACCTGCATCTGCCCCCCCCCACCGCCCCCAAATCTGACCCAAAGCAATGAGTTTGAAAATGGCCTCCTTTATTCCACGCATACCTACGACCTAACTTAAAATACGCTCATTGGGAGAGTTAATGTTTTTCCTCAGAGGCCCTGAGGGTTTACTCAATCTTTCATTTTTATAATGCCCTGATTTCCTGGGTGCAATGACTGAAAAGCAATGTATTGATCAAAAACTTCTGGCATGAAATTCTGTTCAAAGAACTTCATCTGCCTCCCCTTATTTCACCACAACCAGCTGTGAAGTAGGTTCAACAATTAGGCCATTTTCAAGTGGAAAATTGAGGACCTGAGAATCTCTGCCTGCCTTTCAGCTTCTGGCCCAGCCAGCAGAGAATCATGAAGAGCTTTCGGCCCGACAGCACATCTCCGACCAGCTGGAGAGGCGCTTCATCCCGCGCCCTCTGTGTAAGAGCTCCCTCATTGCGGAGTTCAACAGTGAGCTGAAAATTCTCAAAGAAGCAGTTCACAGCGGATCTGGTGAGTCTCTGCAGGGGGGATTTAGGAGTTGGTGGATTATGGAACCCGCACTATCCAAGCAATGCCTGGTCCTGGCCCCCACTGTATGAGTGATGGTCTGGCCATGTGGTACACCAGTAGATTTGACCTTGTCATCATTGACAACAGAACAAAAATCAAGAGGGTGGCACAGGAGCTTAATTGCACTCCTTTTCTAAGCATTTCTTTCAGTCATCATTTCAGTAGACAAGCTTTTGTGGTCTAGTGAGGTTGGAAGCCGATGTGAAAGAATTCACCAGAAAAGGGGGTGTTTGACACAGAATGAGTCCTGTCCCTGCGTTCCTGGAGCTGGGCTGTTTGTTCTAGTAGAGGGGCCAGTATTATGACTTGGTTACCATGGCAACCTTATCAATTCCCTTATCCATGCAACCTCCCAAACTTGCCTGCTGGGTAATGAATGGGGACTTAGTTTGTAACCTTATTAAATGATGTCCTGACATTTGCTGAATATTTAATGGAGAGAAAAGGTATTCAAATTCTTAGCTTAATTTCCTTATTGAACATGAGGAGAGTTATGTTTATTGGGCATCCTATTACATTACAGATTATTTCATAGCTGCTACTTCATTTAATCCACACACATACCTGCAAAGTGTATAAAAGTTCACTCAATGAATGAGGGTTCTGAGATTCAATCACACACAAACTTCCAAGACAGTTGAGAACTGTGAGGGCTAAAGTAGGTCTCCATAATGGATTACAAAATGGATTATCTGTTTGCAAGTTGAAGGGAGAGGGCTGAACTGGAGTCAGCGGGTTAGGCATTACTTTCTTTACATTATTCAAAAGATTTTCTTTAGAAATATACTGTCTACTTTGTACAATTATATTAATAGCACATTACTAAGGGAAAAAAATCATTAACTGCCATTAGAGGGCAGTAATTCCCCACAAGCAAAATATATGTGGTGGAGGGGGGGGTTTCTAAAACTTTTATTATTGTTTGCAGCGTATTCAAGATAGAAAAAAATGTGGAATCTATATAGTGTCATTCAAATATTCTGCTTTATAAAATAAGATAACGTAGATTTTATAAATTGTAATTCCCGAAAAGGAGAATGTGAACACATTTTGATTGTGTATTCTAATTTTGATTGTGGGATTCCTGTCAGATCATATGCTTATTACTTCTGTATGCTTGTGCCAGGCGATAAAATCTGCCAAGCTAGAAACTCGTTTAACAAAACAGTAGGTCAACATTAATTTGCATGCTTCTAGCTTTGGAAAATGAAATGGAAACGTTATGAGAGAGGAGGAACAACAAAGCATTTGATAGCTAGAAATATTAAACTCCCACAAGGAAACTATTCAGTCATAAGTGCATCCGCAGTCAGTTCTTTTTACTTTAAACATTCTCTCTTCTATTTGCTACTTTGTCTAAAGATCATTTATCTGGGGCACACTATTAAACTGTCTTTCCTTTGAAAAGACAAGTGGGAGGCAGTTGAACAAATATTTGTTTCTTTCAAGATCCTTACCATGGGGCCTCCCTGGTGGTTCACAGGGTTAAGTCTCAGCACTATGAAGCAATTCCAGCCACCCCAGCAGGAGTTTGATCCCCTGCCAGGGAGCTGACCTACATGACTCAGCAGACTGCTCCTGTCTTGCCCATTACTCCCCTCAGCAGTGTATTTCAGACAGACAGTCCACCTGTTCTGCTCCCTTTGGGTCTCTGGTGAATCCTCTCACCCACCCCCCCACTTCTGGCCTGTGTCAATAAATAAATTCTTTATAAAATTCTTATATGTGTCAATAAATAAATCTTTAAAAAATGATCCTTACCCAAAAATAATAATAATAATAATAATGCACAACTGTATGCCAGAGACATTTTACAGGGGTAAAAGGGGAATGGGATCAAAAACGGGTGGGGTGGGTAGAGTGCACTGGACTATGGTGGTGGCACATGGGTGATTTGGTGATAGGAAGTCCATGGGGATTACAACTGAGATTGAAAGAGGCGCAAAATAAACCCTTGTATTATATTTTAAAAAATAATAAACACATACTTGACCTTGGAGAGAAAAAAAAAAAAAGACCCTTACCATGGATTTCCTCTGCTCTGGACCAGCCTACCAGGGGAAGACCTCCATCAGCACCGTGGGCACCTCTACCTCTGCCTACCGCCTGAGCCTGGCCACCATGTCCCGTTCTAATACCGGCACGGGCACCGTCTGGGAGCAGGACAGTGAGCCCTCCCAGCAGGCCTCCCAGGACACCCTGAGCCGCACTGATGAGGAAGATGAGGAAAGTAAGTCACCCCCAAAATCAGGGATGTGAGCAACATATGTTGGCCAGGCAAATGAGAACTTGGGAAGTTTTTCTACCTCTGACCCCCTGCTCAATTTTACAGAAGAATTCAAAATGGAATTTTGACAGATTCCATCATTTCTACTGTCTGCTCTTATAAGTTCTCTGATACCTTTAGTTTAGGAAGAATGCAAGCAATAAAAGTAGTATTGTGGTGACACCTAAATTTTCTTTGAACTTATATAGTGCATTAAGGCTCTTTTAAGCTGTGGATAAGTAACTAAGGGAAGCCTTCAATCCTGTTTTCCAGAATATTTTGCTTAGATAGTTGCTCAGCATTTTCATGACCCCGCCCCTCTCCTGGCAAGGCAGAGTGAGAGATGACAAGGCTAGTCAGCTATACCCATTAGAATGTAGAATGGCAAGCTATTTGGAGGGAATTCATCCCAAACTTAAATTGAGTGTCCCCAGGGGCTGAAGTAGCCCAGGAGATTTTAATATGACTGCTTTTGATTTGGTGACAGGGACAGAAGGAAAATTCAGTCAAGAATATACTTCAGACCTACTTCATTGTAGGTTTTAAAAAGTAAAAGTGAATGTTACCTTTACATACCATTGCTGGGCCCTCCCTAGTGGTGCAAGAGGTTAAGTCTCAGCACTATGAAGCTATTCTCAGCCACTGCACCATGAGTTCGATCCCCAGGCAGGGAGCTGACCCACATGGTGCAGCAGACCTCTCCTGTCTTGCCCACTGCTCTCCTCAGCAATCGATTTCAGTCTGCCTGTTCTGTTCCCTACCCTGTCTCTGGTGAATCCTCTCTCTCCCTACACTTCTGCCCCATACCCCAGTTCTTGAATATACATAAATAAATAAATCTTTAAAAATAAATACCATTGTCATTTGATGAGGATTTTAATTGTATTATTTTATTAAAGACACTGATATAAAATTTATAGAAGTGTGCTTTCAATGCTTTATGAATTAGAAAAAAATTAGAACTTCACTCAGAAGCTCTCTATCACACCAAATGAAAAGCCTTACTCTGAGCTAAATTAAATAGAGGAGTAGGAGTTGAATTTAGATTTTTTGTTACTAAGATGACTGAAAGTATTTTAGTATCCTACAGTAATTAGATATCCAGAAGAGAGAACAAAATAAATGCTTTGTTAAGAAACTTATCAATAACATTTCAATTTTAGTTTTAGGATTAATAAAATAATAACCATATTATTTTAATAATAGCCATATTGCCATGCACCTGACCTGCAGACATACTTATTTCTAACTCACCCTGGTCATAGAAGTGCTCCTAAAATTATAATCATGGAACTCTTGAAAAATCTTGAGCAAGAAAACAAAATGAGAGACAAGGATCAGCAGTTTAAATATTAAATCCTAGTGATAGTTCAGAATTACTTAAAGTAATATCTATTTTTCTTGAAGACATGAAACAGTCCCTCCCAGGAATGTTTTAATGATAAGAAATGATCCCACCTATCTCCTGTGGAACTAAATATATTTTGTAGGTAAGGTACGAATAAGCAGATGGCCTACCCAGTGGGAAAGGGCTGAGGAAGAAAGTGGAGAGACCGAGATATCATTGCTCATGAGCCCAGACTCCTAAACAAACATCAACACAGTTCTGGCTAATGTGTTCTCAGTCATCCCAACTACCTAATGAAAACAGAGTTGTTAACAGATGTTGTGGTATGTGATGTGACTGTGAATTTATACTGGGTGGGGAGTGAAAGCTTGACAGTTGACTGCTTTATAGTAAACTGTTTCCCATCCAGTCATTAAGCATGCATTAAAACCTAGCAGGAGCATGTTTAATTTAAAGATACATTCTTCGTCTCTAAGACCTTTGACATTATCTTATCGAGGAGAAGAAATTTTTGATAAAGAACACTAAACAAAAGAATAACTTACATAAAATGTTGGGAACCAATGTTGTCCCTAATAAAGATAAAAATAATTTTAAAATTAAAAGAGTTAATTTAAAATTTAATTTATTCACTATCTTATATAGTAATTAATGGTTATTTCAGAATACTAATTGTGATGTACTGTAGAGTAAAAGAAATAATAGTTACCATATACCTAAAAATGAATGACTGGAAGGCAGCATGTGATTTACCATCAAACACATATTGAGGGAGTGTTAAGTGATATATGAGTTTGGGGGAAGGGGGGATTGCGAAATAAGGGGACCTGAAAAAAGACTGTAGAAATAGTTTCCTCAGGTCTGCCACTATTTTCATGATGTTAAGACACATTAGTTTATTCTTTTCTCTGTGACCACACCAAAAAAGTGAATATTGTTCATGTCAACTTTAAGTTAGTCATTATACAGCAAATTAAAATTTCTGGCATTTTTTAATTTTCAGGCTTTTGGTTTAAGATAAGTTTCATTAAACAAAATAAAGGAACAGACAAACAAAACTAAACAACATTAGTTCACAGAGATGTAAGCTCACCTGTTCAAAAGCATTGTGCTAATGTTTATTTTCAAGTGCTTTTAAACATACTGTGTTAAACAAAAAGACAAAATAACATTTTTGATTTAGGTTAAAATAAGCATTTGTTTCTTAACTCTATAGGCTTTTAAATGTTTTTTTTTTTTTTCCTAAAAGTATCCTAGTCTTTCCATAAGTGGTCTAAAAATCACTAAATATAATGTATGTAGTTTTTGAAAGTCAAATATACTTGACTCATGAAATAACAACATCCCTTATTGAACTATCTCTGGAATGTCTGATGATTTATAGTCCAGCTTTTCTGAGATCTCTGGTATCCAGGCACTCTTTGGCGTTTATAAATATTCTACTTGTGAAAGTGGACAAGCAGTTCCCATTGATTCATGAAGTCTGTTCAGGGTTAGAGACTTATGGACATGAATGATTATTTGTCTCTTTGTTCAGAGTAATACCTGAGACTCTTGAGGTTTTGTTCGGGTTCTGTTCATAGGGGTGAACGGCAACTGAGCTTTGGGCCTGCCCTCAGGTCTTATTCAAGCCAAGGATGAGGCTGAGGAGTTTTGATTTTCTGATCAATATCATAGCTCCCACAGTAACTCTATTCCTTTCCCCGTCCAGATGACTCAGTAAGCATGCCCAGTGTGGTAAGTGAGCAGGAAGCTTACCTCCTGAGCACCATTGGAAGGAGGCGGTTCTCCAGCCATGTCTCCAGCATGTCTGCACCTCAGGCTGAGGTGGGCATGTTACCCAGCCAAAGGTAAAGAGCCATGGGTGTCTTATACTCTGTGCTTGGGGGCAAAGGTAGAAATTCTGAAAATTGACTTCTGTTATGCTAAAGCCGCTAAAAGGGATGCAAACAATCATATCGTTAAAGTAGACGTCCAACAAAGGACTCTTCAAATCAGGTCATGCAGGCAACAGTATGTTGTATTATCTAAGGCCTGATGATGGGATTCTGATTTCTGATTCAAGAATTGTTGTCTTGGAAGATACGTGATCTTCCTTTTTGAATACATTCTTATATTTCAGATTTATCATTAGCTGTGCTAACAATGAGTACTGGCAAATAAATAGGACTTGCTTGATGTATTTGGGAAAACTTAACTTCTGATAGGTCATCAGTATTTGTTGGAGGCTTAGTCAAGTTGAAAAGTATCCATGCCTCTGTCTATGACCATGGGCACGTCACTTAAAAGGGACCCATAAAATCTTCCTTTGGAAATGAGGAGGTTGGTTCTAAAGATCTTTAACCTCCCCATCTATGGTTCTGTGGTTCTGTGACTAACTCCTTTAAAATAATTTATGTATTCTCTGCCCTCTAAGAATCGGTATACAAAAATATTTTATGATATATAAAGCATGCTGTGTAAAATGATCTGAAACGAGTCAAACATTATCTATTTCAGAGTGAAAATGACATTTTCACTTGAGTAACTGAATCATTTCAAAGAGTTCTTGAGCTAGTTTATCCTTAATACTTATAGATTCATATATTTAATATAAGGAAAGTATTAAAAATCAGGACATACTCTATTTAATATAAGGAAAGTATTAAAAATTGGGACATATTCTAATGTTCATATAAACACCAATTATGTACATAAATACTTTGTGCCCAAATCTTTTAGCCATCAGTTCATCAACTATATGGATGAAATTATACTTATGAAATAGAGCCTAACTTTGCAGAATATCAACTATAGGGGGAAATGATAAGAGATGATTAATAAGAAAGTGATCTTCTGTAAGGAAAACAGTATTTTAGGCCTATTTAGTTATTGCAATAATTGATAATATATAAGAAGCAAAGTGTATTAGGAAAAGAGAGCTTCTTTCTAGGGACAGAGACTTTTTTACAGTGCATGGATTTGGGGGGACAGATACTTCAACTTCCAAATGAGTTAGTTCCTTCCAACTTAACAAGTGTTTATTGGGTGTCTCATGGGTGCTTAGCTCAATGCTAGGTATTAAAGACAAGAGAGATAAGGTGTGACTCTTTCTGTTCACAAATCTCCAAATTAGCTGCATCCAAATAAATCAATAAACTAATTATTCTTCCATCAACCTGACAGATTCCTTCTTTTGACATTTACAATTCAGTCACTAGAGGATGGAGTAAGGAGGTAAACTCAAGCTCCATGAGAATTCTTCAGGGTTATCTTCTTTCCACTGTTTATTGACATTTTCATTGCAAAATGAGCAGAAGTCGGGTTCTTTCTTTGTTTTTCTTAATGGCATCGGTTCCAAGAGTTTGGTTGTGCCCGTTCTTGGTAAGTGGTTTCTGTGTGATCATGTCACCACATATAAGAAAGGAGCAGGGTCAGTGAAACATCACATGCGTAATTCAGATGAAAAATAATAGCCACCCAGCCAAACGGTTCTTCTTCTACAGAGTCCTTCTGCAGTGAGTTTGAGAGCTCATGTGTCCATTTGGAGCTCATTTTAAATCCCAACTCTTGACCAATAAGTAGAGTCGTATCCATCCAAAGTCCTTCCTCCCCCATTGCCTTGAGTCCTATGTCTTGACAAACCCAGCACAAGGTGAAATGGTTGACTGTCTCCTTTTCCTTCCTTGTTCTGTTAAATTTATTTTTGGTTCTCGGAAGCAGAAAACTGCATGCCTTTTTTTCTTTTTCTTTTATTTGTTTGCATTTTCTTTCCCTAAATGCTTCATCTCCCTACCCCTCCTGCAGTGAACCTAATGTCCTCGATGACTCCCAGGGCCTGGCCGCCGAGGGCAGCCTCTCTAGGTACAGTGTCAACGCTACCTGTCTTTTGGTGTCTGTGCTGGGAAACTAGCTGTTCCCTGTCTCTTCTGTCTCTCTGTCTCTCTGTCTCCTCTCGCCCCGTTTGATACCTTTTTCCATTCCTTCCCCTTTGTTGCTCATGAACACACGAGCCTGGAAGTCAAAGGTGTAGTCTCCTTTGTTTTCAGCTTCACAGTTTAATAACAAATGGTTTAAAACACTTAGATAAAAAAAAAAAATCTGTGGATTTCTTTTATGTGATTATCCCATGGACATCCGAGGAGTTCGATAAACAAAATGTTAACCCCATCTAATTCACTCCCTCACAACACACACTGATATTCCTTAAGAATTGTTTTGTAGAAACCTTTTAATCCAACCTCTCACCACCAAGAAACCCCTTATTAACTCAAAACAGGTCTTTGAGCTAATACCATGCATGGTAATAAAACAAACAACAAGAAATAAGATACAAGAAATAAGAGCAGCAATGTTATCACAATTTAGATAATTCCCTCTCTGGGATGCAAGCTGCATGGCAAGCTACTATAGCAGCTTGTTCAGAGTATTTCTATAAAGAATGTCTGTCCCAGCACAAAGATGACTCTGAGCCATGATCATATCAGACACAAACATTTCTCAGTAAGTAAGAGAATCTGGCCATGCAGACAATGTATAATCTCAGCTGTTGGTTTAAAGCTTCAGAAAGGGGGACTGCACCTTTAACACTCAGATAAACCATGTCAAACATTCCTAATCTTGTGCTTGATTCACACCTCTCAACTAATCCTCATTAGGGGTAATGCTTCTGTTCATTCTAAGAGTACCTTTGCTCCATCTCAAGAGAAAACATTTCCTTCCAGGTGTACATTATGTAGTGAGTACGATATACCATGTTTATTGCTTTATCACAAAGATGAGGAAATGTTGAGAGGCCGTTCCTGTGAAAGGTTGTCCTTTGTTTCTTTTGCATCTTGTTCAGATTTCACATTTTCTTTTGCCAATCGAAAATGGGAAATTAGTCCATCATTAGGTGTACCTTTTTTTTTTTTTTTTCAAAAACTGAAACCCATAATTCATGACATTCATTTGTGTTTGCGAGCCCTTGCCTTGACAGATCAGTCTTTCATTGGTGGTAAACGTGGAAGTGCTGCGGAATGCAGACTTAGCTTCATTATCAAGAGTTTTGGGGACAAGGAAGAGTAAAAATGTCCTCAAGATGTTTTCTCCTTCATTGTTCAAAGTTTGATGAGATCTGAACTGAGTCTGGCACCGTGACCACTGCTTGCAAAGAATGCATTTGTTTGATGCTTAAAATGATATGTGAGATAGGAGACCCTTGATTCGAAGATGATTTCAGAGACTTATTGAGAATAGAAAGTATTAAGCCAGACTTCTATTGTGCTGGCTTTGGGCTAGACCTTTTATAATCCAACCAAATTCTGCTCTTACTGAGTGAATAGTAGCCTGGGGTTGGTATGAGATGTGAGTTTGAGTTGATTTTTATGAATTCTCCAAAGGATGTGTCCTCTTTGGCTGGCTTGGAGTTCACATGAATGCTTTGGAGTTATCTGAACCAAATTCAGTTACCTTCTGTCCAGTGCCATTGGGAATAAGTCCAAAGCTCCTGTGACGTGAGACTGGTTGAGAGCTAGTTATAGATTTTGACTACAACTAAATTAGTCAGTCATGTCAGGGCTTCTTCGATGACTGTTTCAGATCAGTTGATCTATTGCTCCTAAATGATTTTGTTTTAGTTCTGGGTGTTAGTTACCCAGACTTGGCCATGGTTGTCAAGAAACCAGAAGACGAGGTTCTCACTTTGAATTGTAAATAATGCTATGAACTCGGAAGCATTCCACCAGCCACTAGCACGCCCACCTTTGCCATGCACTGCAGATCTTCTCTCTTGAACTCCATCATGTCACCAAGTTCTCTTTGGAGGAGAGGAACTTTTGGCATTTACTGAGAGGTGGGTTTATAAGAGAGGATACATATCTTTTATATTTGATTTCCAGGCTTTCTTATTTTTGGCATGAAACTTTTCTATGCTGCAAACTCTTAAAATCCTTTAAAAAAAATAAAAAAGCAGTAAAGCATTAACCTTATAAATCACTCTTAGCACACACCTGAGCACCTAATATCTAAATGACATGCAAAGTCATAAGGAAAATTCTGCTTCAAAGCTTAAAGGATTAAGGAAAATTCCTAAGGGTAGGTAAAAAGCCACAGCCTTGCACCCCAACTTCCCACAGACATTATAGTAAATTTTGGGGATTCGCTTTTAAAAGAGCACTTGTTTCAGGCAAAATGGGCAAGTTGGTCAAGGGCTATGTGAGGAAAAGACCAGGGTTACTAGAATAACCTGATAAATATGTGGAAACCAGTAAAATTTTTGCAGACCTTCAGAAAATTCCTTTTTTTTAACCTGTACTATCTGATTTCTTAAAAGATGCATCAAAAGAAATAACAGCCTGTTAGAAGCTTCACACTAAAGAGAATTACCTTTGTTGAGAGTGTTGCTTTTAGAGATATAGAAATTCATTGCAAATGTTCCTACCCTGTGCCCACACCCATATACACATACAGATCAAATTATGCTTTCTGCAAGAATATAAACATGCAGAGGTTTACTGAAGTATTTAAGCCTGGTTGTTTAGACTTGAGGATTAGATTTTGTTTGGACATGTTAGAACATTTTGAAAGGCAGGAATTGACAACTTTAATTCAGAAAAGGGAGATTACAACATTATTTGATTTTGAAAGGTTCATTTTAATCACAGTGAAAAATAAGAATGTAGCTCAAGTTAGAACAAGACTCTATAGCCTGGGTGAAACAAAATATAAATAACCTCTTTAGTAGATCATGCTCATCCACATTTTTAAATATGAAAACTTGGCAAGTACACCCAAAGTACAAAGAGCAAAATTAAAACCACCTTTTCATGTAGCTAAAAATTAATAACTAAGAAAATGTGTGTTGTGATTCACAGATATGTATTTTTCTACTGCTAAATCTATTCTTACAGGATATTTAAGATCTAGATTATTTCCCCTTTTTAATCTGATTCCAGCCTCTAATCTCTAAATTATGTGGCATTTAAAATACATTTTCTTGGCTGCTGTGGAGGCTAAGTAAATTTTAAACAATAATCTTTTACTGGGAAAGGGAAAAGTAGGACTTTTGTCTAGTGTTAATTTCCTTGTTATCTACAAATGCTCTCTGGTTGCTTTGGTGCTGACTGTATGCATTCCCACAAGGCAATGGCTCAGGGTAAATGCTATGCTGTGTGTCTTGTGTTTCACCTCTAGAGTTCTCTAACCATATTAAAACTGAAACAAAAAGTGCAAATGAAACAATACATACCAATTCATTTTCTGTGTGCTAGTCTTACCCACTACTTCTACTTAAAAATTTTCAGTATATTGGGAGCCCAGCTAGCTCAGTCAATAGAGCATGAGACTCTTAAAATTTTAAGTATGAAATACACTATATTTTGAGCTATACCCCCAACTAACTAAAAATTTGAGATGAATGTCACAAATTTCTATTGTATTACTCAATGACTCCTTCAACCCTCTTTTGTAGCTTAAGAACTACCACCAGGTCTATAAATTTCATTAGGAGGTAGATCTGTATTTGCACATTACCGTCCAGGCTATCCTGCTGAAACAGGATAAAAGAGATTATTTGTGGTGATGGCTCCCCTAACTTGTTTGAATTTCCCTAACATATAAATCACTTCCACACATTTTGAGTAAGGTGTTTCTATTTTTCATAGAGTTGGGTCAAACCAGTTCTGCCAAACCCCAGTTGCATTTATTTTTCTGAGGTTTAGATTATGATTTGGTTTGTCAGAGTGTCATTCTTTAGTAATTCAAAAATAGGAAGAATGACTTTAGTTTCCATGTGGAAAGTTTTCTCCTTATTGTTTTAATCTATTGCTTAGAAAACACTGGACATCAGCCAGTTTCATTCCCAAGGTTAATCCTTTTGGGAAACAAGTTTTCTATAGGAAAGTGTTCAGGGCAAAAACTGGGTCTTCTGGTTGACTTAGTAGTGCACATGTATGGTCACACATCACAAGCTTTACAGACAACTGAAATATTACATCCCATGGAGAACAGCTACAATAAAGCTTCCTTTTACATGTGATATACCCCCAATAAGAGAAGGGTGTGCTGAATAAATTACTTCCAGTAATAACTTCTCTGGCAGTTTGCTATTAATGTGTCCTGACTGCATATAGTTAAACCAGACATTGGTATTCCAAATGAAAACATGTCAGAATCACATTTTTAGGGAAAAGACAACTTATTAGACGGGAAATATTTCCAAGGACATCTTCTATAAATTCATTTGATGTGTGCATTCTATTGATGAAATGCAATGTCATTTGCATAGAACAGCTATCTACTAAAGCTATAAACTTGATCCATTTCTTAGCTACAAGCCTCTCTATCCATAGAGAAAATTTTGATGCTTATGATCCTTCCTTGGAATAATCATTGTAAGTTACCATTATGTTTTGACATTTAACACTCCCTGAGTAATGTGTATTTCTTTTCTTTTCTTGCACCATTTTTTTTTTCTCACAATCTCAGAGTACCAAATAAAAATGAGATGAGAGGACTGCCTCGATTTCATTTTCTCTGTCCAATTATTTTCAAGACATTTTATACATACTTCCTTTAGTGTTCTAGAAGCAATGAACTCATTACCAATATCAAATATAAAACAAGTAAGCATGCTATATGCGTCACTTTTCATGTTCAAACCATTTTACATCAACTAACTTCTTTTCTCTACCTTAATGGGAGGTAGGTGGTAAGTATTGCCTTCCCTTTATGGCCAAGGAGACTGAGGTAACATTTAGATGTCAATGAAGAATCCATTCCAATGAAAGCTTTGCTTGGTATTTGGGAGAAACTTGTTTCTACTTTTGTGCATATGGTAATTGAATACTTTTCCCAATTTAAGACATGTTGAAATATATAATTAAGAAGGAGATGTCACTTCAAACATGCCAGCAACATAGTCTGGATTGCTTACTAGAATTTATTGCATTGTTCCTTTGGGGGTAATTTTCCATCTGCACAGAATGGCCATATATGGTACCAGGTCATATATGTATAAAGATAATACAAAGTACATTGATATTTTAAACTTGTTATTCAGGAGGACAAGAAAGTTTTAAAAAACATCTGTTTTGGGTACTCTTTACAGAAGTTTAAATTGTATATCCTATATAGCAAAACTCTGATATAATTACATCCTTATTTCATAAATACTTTTCCAAATTAATAAGCTCCATTTGGGAAGCACTGATTTTATTTTAGTGGAAATATGAAAAAGACTTAAAAAATGAAAAATGTGACTGTGTCAACCATGTGATGATTAACCAGTTGTTAACACAACCAAGGAAACATCTGATTGTCTATCTTGACACCATTTTCTCTCCCTACAACTGCCACTAGTTTTCAAAGTACCTGATTTTTTTTAAAAAAAATGGAAATGAATGAATATAGTCTTTCTTTTTCCAGAGTTGCTGACTCTGGATTCCTCTGTGGAATATTTTATGCTAAAAGCTATTCGTAGATGACTCTCCTTTTGCGAAGGCAAAGCAGAAATGAATAACCCATTAACTAAATAATCACATTGGCATCAACCACTGAATTACAGTGTTCTCTGGGGCACATTTCTTTTTTTCACCCCCACTCCCATTATTAATATCTATTGTACATGCATGCAGAATGAAAAAGGATCATGGGCCCATGTCAGTATTTTCAGCTTCACCCAAACTAATATAGTGACCACTGTCAGTAGTCATTTTTGCATTTAAAAGACACACATACACAGTAAATTTGGGGGGAGCAGGTTGTTGCTTTTCTACATCATTTGATATGTTTGAGTGCAGCTACTCAATATTAAAGTTTCCAAGTTGCAATCATAGCCTTACTACTTTGCCAGCCTCAAAATCTAAAACCTTTTTTTTTTTTTTTCAAAAAAAGAAACATTAAATTGTCTATCCTTGTGACTATTCATTTCCTCGGTAGTCACAGACTCCAGGCTGCAAACATGTGTTGAATGTGCCCCTTCACCCAAATGGATTCTGTGTCTGATGTGTTTGATATTTGTCCATCTTATTTTCATTTAAATTGAAATTTAAAACAAGGTGTTCCCATCCATGTGACAGAGTTGTTTGTGTTTGTTTGTTACCACCTTTTCCCTTCCCCTCAAAAATAAAAAATAAAAAAAATAAAAAAATTGAGATCAGACTATGACATCTGAAACCTTTTGGTGGCTTCCAAACCAGGGGTGTGATTGAACCAATGTTTTTGCTGAATGATAGAAATGGCATCCGTGATTGAAAACAGAATCTCAATTTTGGCAGCTTGGGGCTCCCAGGCCCCGTCCTTCCTCCTAAACCTTTGAAAACGCCTATCCCAGGACTCTTTCCCAACCTTCCTTCAAAGATAGTGGTATCTTTGAAGTGACTTTCATTTAAGTGATTTTGGCTAACACCCACCAGAGGATGGCCTCCACCGTCTCTCCAGAGTATGCTAATGCTGCTGATGCTTGACAGGGTGGCAAGTGTGCAGAGCGAACCTGGTCAACAGAACCTCCTCATTCAGCAGCCTCTGGGGAGGAAGAGGGGCCTCAGGCAGGTAAGCAGACCCTGACAGGGTTAGAGAGTCATCCTGTGAAACGGAATTGCTCTTCAGTTTCTAATGCCCTCCTGTATTAAGATTATATTTTGCCTTCTCTCCATTTGAAATAAGCCATACTGAGCAACTGTAAAATGTGTTAAGTGCTTGGACAAGCTGGATGTTTTTAGCTTCTCTTTGAGCTTTGAATCTTATTAGCAAAGCTGTTGACTAAGCAAAATATGGGGGGTAAAATCTATTTGTTCCCTACCTAGAACCCTTTCCCAGCTGAACTTACTGAACAAGGCAGATTTGTTATAAAGTTGATTAAAGACCTGGTTATGTATAAAGGCCAAGACACAGTCATATTTTCTTCCTTACTGAAGATTAATGATTCAATTTAAAACTGAAATCAAAGGAAAGGTCATCTTTAAAATTCCCATAGCTGCGTCGTACTCCCTAAATAAAAATATAAAAAGTAATAAGTGCCTCAGGACTCCAGCTAATAAAGAGGAGCAACTCAAGAAAGAAAAAGTCAGATGGAGGCCTTATTACTTTGTGGCAGCTTCTTAGGATTGATTTGGGTACTAGACACTTTCTCAGCACCTCTGATTTTTCTATCAATCTCCCCTTGAGGCTTAGCATGTGTTCCAACTTAATTTTATATGAGGCAAGGCTGGCAGGTAAACTATCATTATTAATTTTGTATCTTAAAATTCATGGGTTCATATTGACTATTTTAATTTATGTTAATTTTCCTAGGATACATATATATATGTAAATTTTCTTAGGATATATATTTATATGAGTAATAATTGTAAGATAGAACTAGTTAAAGGAGATGCAGGAATCTAATACTTATAGTTATGAGTCCACAGAGACTCATAAAGAAAGGAACAAATTATAGTCTGAATCCTCTGAGTACAGGATTTCCTCCCAGGCAGTTAGACCCTTCTTGCCAGCTTGATTCTGCCTGTTCTCTTTAGTTAAGACGTCCTCTACTGTCACGTCAGAAGACTCAGACTGAACCCAGAAACCGCCACGGGGCTCGGCTCTCTACCACTCGGAGAAGCATTCAACCTAAAACAAAGCCATCTGGTGAGGCCTGCTGCATCCCTCTGACTATGCAGTTAACAAGATGGGCAGGAAGCCTGCAACTGAGCTCCTGCAGCTAAGCACAGCTTTGGGGAGTTACTTGGATAAGGGAAGCTTCCCAGAAATCCTTTTCAACTTTCCAACCCCTGTCCCTACCCCCACATACCTAGGGAGCTGAAAGAATCCAAGGTAAAACACTAGTGCTTTGAAGTTTGACTAGTGCAGTTTGTGTTTTCTTTATGTGATCCAGGAGCAGGGTTTGTTATGTCTTACTGAAGACAAAGGAATAATGCATAATAGGGTCTTTGAAGTTCTCTTGTCAGCTATGACAGATGTTACCTATTGTTCTGTGTGAATCTTGCTTTAGGCCATGTGTATAAAAATGATTTTTGACTTGTTCTACTCTTCATTAGGTGAAATGAACATATGTTTAAAATTGTTAAACAGGATCTCACATATTAATGAGCCCGCAGTGTATCACTACCCAGAACCAGGAGACACTGGTTAAAGCGAATTAAGTGCTGACAGCATGTATTGCCCCTAATCACTCTTCTATTTGTTGCCTTACCTTTAACCTACCGCAGATCAGAAACGATCTGTGACCTTCATTGAGGCTCAGCCGGAGCCAACAGTTGCCCCAACAGACACACTTCCTGCTTTGGGCCAGCCACAGGGCTGCAGTCCAGCTCCATCTCGGAAACCAGAAGGAACGGACAAGCCAGTCCTCACATCCTCCCCTGCCATTGTTGTTGCTGACCTGCACAGCATGAGTCCCAAGCAGGTGAGGCTGCTAGGGCCACAGACAAGATTTGCTCCTACCTTCTTGTTTTTTTTGTTTTGTTTTGTTTTGTTTTTTAAGATTTATATCTTTTATGCATTCAAGAACTCTGGGGTATAGGCCAGAGGTGCAGGAGTAGGGGGTGAGAGGATTCATCAGTGACAGAGTAGGGAGCAGAACAGGCTGATTGATGAAGTCCACTGCTGGGAGAGCAGCAGACAAGACAGGAGAAGTCTGCTGTGCCATGTGGGTCCCTCCCTGGCTGGGGATGGAACTCTTGATGCAGTGGCTGCTGCTAGCTTCATAATGCAGAGACTTAACCCCTTGAGACTCTGCTCCCATCTTCTAAGAACTACTTGGATATGCAAATTTGTTCCATAAAATTTATGTCTGTGTCTGCAATGTTTTGTTGGTGACATAGACATTGGTAATGTCATCATGGAAACAAAAATCTATATAAAGTATATGGTGAGAAAGACATCAACTGAAGTATTTTGAGAAGTCTAGATATTCTTCAAATTGAAAACAAAATATTTCATTGCTAAATAACCATTGAAAGATAGTTCATAAAAATAGATTATCAATTTAGATAAAGCTTTGAAGTACAGAGCTATATCCTAAGAGAGGAACTTTTTGTTTTGATTAAATATCATTATTAGTGATATTCACTATCATTGCTTAGAATTTTTTTCCTTTTCAATTTTAATAATTGAATTCTAGTAGGCCCCATATTCTTCTTGTGTGGTATTTCTTTAAAAGATTTATTCATTTAAGCATACAAGAACTGGAGAGTAGTACAGAGGTGTGGATTCACCAGAGACAGAGTGGGGAGCAGAACAGGCAGATCTACTGAAATACACTGCTGAGGCAGGTCAGGAGAGGTCGGCCATGCCATGTGGGTCAGTTCCTTGATTGGAGATAGAACTTGTGCTGCAGTGGCTGCTAATAGCTTCACAATGCTGAGACTTAACCCCTTGTACCACCACGGAGGCCCTTGTGTGGTATTTAAAGTAAAGGGGAAATATGTTTGTAGCGTCTTTGATAGTTAAGAAGCCTTGTGATAACACTATCTTGTCTTATCCTCAAAGTGTGTAAGAGCAGCAGGGAAACACCCGTTCCAGGTCAGAAAACTGAGACTTTAGAAAGTCAAAAGCATCTCTAGAAGAGCTCATGTTTTAACAAGTCTAGAGCAGGGACTAGCCCTGTAATTGCTGTGCATGTGCAGCTAGATAACAATATTTTTGTGCTCTTGCATGGCACCCATCCTACTTTTCCATGATCCTTTGATCACAGAGTGAGACCCTCCTCCCTGAAGGAGAAAAGAAGGAGGATTCTGAGGCACATGGCGCGGCAGCACACAGCCCGCTCTCCACTCAACTCTCAGACCCTGATGAATTCACAGGCCTTGAGACTTCCATCCTTCTACAGCATGGAGACACCGTCCTTCACATCAGCGAGGAAAATGGCATGGAGAATCCCCTGCTGTCCAGCCAGTTCACTTTCACACCCACTGAGCTTGGGGAGACTGATATAGCTCTAGATGAATCACATGTCTAGTTCCCTATCTTCTAGGAGTTTCCAGGTATGGACAAGAGGTGGAGGGGATCACTTTGCTCATGTTTTGAAAAGATGAAAACGTAGCACTTTATATCCAACGGGTGGCACAAATCTCAGTAGCTTCTGCTGCCGATGCACACACTGTTTCATAAACATCTTTTAAAAAAAAAGCAATGGCTAACATCGCTTGGTTGCTGAAGACCATAAAACCCAGGGAGGAATACGGGGAAGAGCCATTTCATTGCACATTGTTTATGATTCAAAAAGCCTTCAATAATTAAAATGTATACTATTACAGAGCTGCTTACCTAGGAATAGTACCACAGAGTATGTCCTAAAAAAGGAATGCAATTTTTTTAAGGTTATTCACATTATACATCTCATGCAAATATTTATTTTTATAGTTTCAAAAATACTAAATCAGGTGGCTGTACAAGTAACAATTTACATGAAAGTAACCAATAAGAAAAATATTGGTTTAGGGAAACTAAATAACAAACCTGCAGCCATTTTTTTGTTTTGATCAACAAAACAGTCATTGAGAAGAAGGAAAAAAATACTATTTTTACAGCTATGGACTTTTCAATATTTATTTTTGAACTATCATTTTCATTGCATTTTGTAATCAAAATGCTAGTGTCATAAGATTATTTCATTTAATAATCACATCAGAGAGAATATTCTAGAAATAATCAGACATAATTCTGAATTAATAAGAACCAACTGGCTTGTACTATGTTTTAAAAATGAAATATAAAGTATAATATCTAGAAAGAGATACATCTAGCCCTGACTGCACTACGAAGACAAGAAGATATTGGGAAATCTGATTATTTTCCTTACACTATATTGTGCCTGCCCTCAAGGGCATATTTTCAAATATTAGATTATTGTTGTTAGAATTAAGTCAATAAAATAACTTTTTCTCAACATTAATAATATTCCTATGATCCTTAGACATATAAGCTTATAAGGAAAAAACTACAAAGTGAGCAACTTCTCATTGTCAACTTGTGTTTTATTTTAACTTGAAAATTCAGTTACTTCAAGAAAAGCTTAAAACTTAAAAGGCTTGTGAGGCCATCTCTAGTGTGTGATTCATATAGTAGGGCTTGGCATCTTATAGTCCAAAGTGGAATTTCAACATTTTGAGTTTGTATTGGAAAACTGTTACATAATGACTAAACATATAACAAGTCATATACATGCTTACATTGGTATGGTGGAGTGCATGTGTGTGAATATGTGTGAGGGGGGTGTGTTTTCTAGTGCTCAAGTTGAAGTTGAATACAGACTTGATTATATTGCAATGAATTTAAAACATCTGTATGCTTAAACTTTTGACTACACTGGGTATGAAATGTATATGTCTATGTAGACGAGACCCACTGAAACCACCCAAATCACAAGGGGAATTATTTTTCTTTTCAGATTGCTTATTAACGAGGCATTATTTACATTGCAATTTATGTTGTCAAATATAATTTGGGGTTTTTTTCCCATTCACTAAGAAAATGAAAGATATCTTTGAGTTAAAGATAAAAGGCAAAACTGAACATTTCAAGACTGAAAGTCAGAAAATAGAGGTAGTAAATGGCCCCTTTTATACTTTACAATGTTTTCTGAACATTTGCACTTAATGCTGAATTACTTCTGAAGTGCAGAAATATACATATAAGTGGTTTCATAATACTTTCTAAGTTGATATATTCACCTGTTAAAAATTATGCTGCTCAATTAGTTTAGAGGCCTTATGTTTGCTATTACCAGTGTCTGTATATGTGAGTCTTTGTATATGTGCATACTTTGTTCTGGGTTCTTGCTTCTTACTTCAAATTCTTTATGTGTAATTGTATCAGATATTTAAAAAATAAAGGGATCAAAGTAGATTGTTAAATATCTAACAAGAATCCTACATAACTTTATATATATTTAAAAAGTATTGAGCTGTGTGAATATGATCATACTGGCCTGTCTGCCTTTTAGCCTGACTCCTTCACTCTAGTGTGATGGAATTTTGTTGGAAACTTTCAATAAGCTAAATACTCCTGTACCTTGCAAAAACGCCTCCATTCTGAGAAACAGGGCCTTATAGAGCAAGAATGTTTTCATACTGGGGACTACTGAGATTTTGCATATGTGTGCATCTGTTCCATTAAGGTGCCCTTAAATGTGTCGAATGTAATGTGTTGAATGTCTATGCGTACTTTATAAAGTATCTCTATATATGTGCATAAGATTGTCATAGATGTATTCTCAGGAATACTGGTACCTGAAGTTTGAAGAAATAACTATTAAAAAAGAAGAATAGTTGGGGAAGATTAGAAAAAATTCCAGACAATAAACAATTTTTTTGTAATATTCAAAATATTGAGTATATGCCTAAAAGTTAATTATTACATCTGATATATGCAGTTTTGGTAATACTATGATGCATGATGATATTTATCTTGTTCAAAGGAAATTTAAAGCAGGTACCTACTTCCATGTATTAAAAAATTGGACTCAACTAAGAGTTTGCTTCTTCTGAAATTAAATTTTGAGAGACCTTGGAATAAACATGTATTATCCATAATAGTGAGTATAGATTTATATTACTCAGATTCATGTAACGCAGCTCAAATCCTGGACACAGCATTTTATATAGCAAGACATTTTATTATAATTTTTCAATATTCACTGCCTTCTATAATCCTATTAGATAAGTTACTTGATTTTTCCTATAAGGAATTTTTGAGTGCATTGGGACAAAAAATCTGAAAACCATAGTGTCAAAAGGCATAAATGGGCATGGCAATTCAGGGGGAGAATCTGTGGTGTTTGGGGGTCTGGCCCAGGGTGTGTTATACAGGCTAGGAAACATAGCTGGTTTGCTGTTTCAAGCCTTAGAGTACCTTAGGCAGGGTGATATCTCTTCTGTCTTAGTATCTGACCCTTTAGACAGTGAAGAACATTGTACAGTCTGTTGCTCTGTCCCAAGAGTATCTGAGATGAGAAAAGGGTGTGTTTAGGAACCTACAGGGAAGAGCAGGTCATAAATAGAATTACAGTTGAAAATACAAGTAAAACCTCCTTCCTTGCGTTATATAGTACACTTTTAATAATCTCTGTAATTTGCAATTTGCTGCTATCACACCAGGGTCATCTTTTTGCCCTATGACCTCACATTCCAATTCCATGGCCTTGTTTTCGCAGTGAATAAAAAGGCCCATTTCCTTTAATGGGTCTCAACTGCAGTGTTTCAAAAACGTTTGGTTTGACACTCAGGAGAATAAAAATAAGGGAAGAAAATATTTGGAAAGCTTAAGACAAATTTATTTACATTGTTTTATGATTATTTAGGATTACAGATCAGTGTACCTCCATAATATTGTTCAATAGTCACTGTGACTGCAGGATGAACATCCTTTCTTAGCCATTTTATAAGCAAAAACAAAAGATTGAGTACACAGCCACCTTCCCTCAGATGACTATGGAGTCTGTTATGAATACTGAATGACCAAAGAGCATGGGAAAAAATGCATACGAATAAATACTAAATTGTTTATGGAAGATGTTTATGAAAGACATTAAGACTTCTGTGTTTGAATATGCACATGTAATAAAATCAATTTAAAAACTTCTAAGATGCCTGATTGTTTCATTTTTCAATATAAGAATTGGTTAACTCATTTGGAAAAGTGTGCACTTTGGATCCTTGAGGTTATGTTTTGTTTGTTTTGGATCCCTGGGATTTTCTTGATGTTCCTACTAAACTCCTATAGTTTGGCCTAGGTCACTCTTCAATTAGGCACCAGTAACTTCTTCCTGCTATGCCAAAAGAGCTCTATTCTAATCAGGCTTCACACTTCTAAATTTCAAAACAAAGCAGAAAGGACATGCTGGGAGACAAGTGCTCAGCTTGATTTCTTTGCTCAGGTTATGACTTGCTGGAAGGACTGGCCATTTTCTAGAAGGAATGTAAGGATCTAGTTTCATCTGAATGTGGCCAAAATCACCACAAGAACCAAGTCACCATCATTCTTTCTTTAGAGTACAAAGTGCTTTATCTTTACCCTCTAAAGTAGGTGCTAGGTCTATTTTCCTCAAGTGGTTTTATTTCATCTCGTTTCCTGATCCAATGACCTTAGACATATTTAGCTGAGGGACAGACAAACCTAGTCTCCCTAAACAGTACATACATGTATATAGTTTGTTAATGAGCACTCCTGATAGGGAAAAAGAAAAGATGAAGATGAAGGCCAGAAACAGAGACGCGTAATCATGACAGTCTACTATTTTGTACTGAGTATCCAACGCATTTATTTCATCCTTATTACAAGCCTAAAGGCCGGGTACTATCTTTACGGATGACTAAATGGAGACAGGGAGAAGTAACTAGCCTAGGAGAAGTAACTCTGCTTGGGCAGAGTCAGGATTCCACCTCTGCCTCTTAATTAGAACTCATGGAGCGAGAAATAGAGGTAGGTTTTGTTTAGTTGTTTTTTCCCCTCCAGGGAAAAGCACAGCATAGGCAAAAAATGGAGCGCACATAGAGCCACATAGAGTGAACTGCTGAGGGAACTAGAGCGAAAAATGAAACTTCTCTAATCTGTGAGTTCTGGGTAACCGGAATACCCAGTTTCAAGAACGAAGGTCAGAGGAAGGAAGAAGGGGCCTCTATGTTGGACCTCCTCGAAAGCCACAGGCTGGCTGCCTTGCCCTAGAGCGGAGGCGGGACTTCCTCCTCGAGGGCGCTGCTTCCGGCAAAGTCCGGAAGACTTTACGGGAAAGGGGAGGGGTCAAAACTGTGCGGCCAATCGGGGCGACGCCTTCATTTTGCTGGGAGACTCGTGGGGTAACTTGCACTTGAGAACCAGCACCATGGCGTCTGGCTGCAAGATTGGCCCGTCCATCCTCAATAGCGACCTAGCGAATTTAGGGGCCGAGTGCCTCCGGATGCTGGACTCCGGGGCCGATTATCTGCACCTGGATGTAATGGACGGGTAACTCCGCGGGGCTCTGGTCAGGGTTGGCGCGCGGGGCGGGTCGGCGCACCTTGATTGAATGCCTGTTGGATGCACGGCGTCCTGTGGCTGCGGAGCGCCGCACTCTGAACGCGGTATTCAGAGGGGACCCGGGGGAGTCGGGGGGAAGCTGGGGAGACCCAGCCTTGGAGCCCAGCAAAGGCGACATCCTAGGCTACGACCGCGTCCCCTCTCTCCCCTCCCCCCACGTAACGTGTGGTCTTCTAGCACTTACGACCCGGAAGGGACCTTAAACCTGAGACAGGTGTCTCGTTTCCAGTTAGGGAAGCTGAGGCCTAAGTGGGTAGGCATGACTTGCCCAAGCTCATATAGCTAGTTAGTGGCGAAGCTGGGGAGACAGACCTGCGTAACGATGGAGAGCTTGGCACCAAGAGTGAACTTGCTCGAGTTCTGCCACTTGCTGGGTTACCTCCCTGGGACAGATCACTTAACCTCAGTGGGCTTCAGTTTCATTATGCTAAACATGGAGGTAGTACTAGAACCTGTCGCGTAGGCATCCCTGGAGGTGAATAGAGGTACACAAAGTTTACAGTGCCTGGTGTACAGTAAATTCTCTGTGATTGTGAGTTGTATCTTTGTTCAGATTTTGATTTTCCTGTCTATTTTCTCTTCAGGCACCCTGCTCTTCAGGGAGCTCAGTTTTTTGTAAGTAATTTTTAAGCACTGTAGTTATGCACGAAAGACTGGAGTCGGGATGGTACTGGTTTCTTAAGTTGGCTATAAAATGAGGAAACCAATCTAGAGTAAACAGTGAGACTCCCTCAAGATTGCACAGCATTGTGACATAGTTGCAACTTGGAGATACTTGAGTTTGCCAAGTAGTTCTCTGAAGGCCACTGAGAACTGGTGGTAAAATCATAGCAGACATTATCTTGGATTGGTGTAGAAAAAATACTTTTTAAAATAGATTAAAAACTCTGTGCCCTCGGGTCAATTGGCAAGTTCTTGTTGTTTACAAAAGTCATCAGTTACTTTCCTTTCATTTTAATATCACTCCTCTTCTAAGAATTTTGTAGGTGGTTTTTTTGTTTCTCCTTTACCTTCCAAGTCTGTTACCACTATGCCCATCTGATGATGACAGTGCCTTGACGTTCTAGGTGAAATATGCAAGATTACTGACTATTTCCTCTTTAAAAATCTTGGTTTTTAGTATGCTACCTGTATACTTTCGGGGATCCCTTTACTTGAAAGCTGGGAACTCCATGTTACTGAGTGTATACTTCAGATATAAGTAGTTACATTTTTTTGTGTGTCTGGCACAGCTAGGGAATGTCAAGTTAAATGGCCCATATCTGCTTAGTCTTTTTGACACAGAAAATTACGTGGTTTTAAGTAAGTCTTGGATCATGTTTGAGTAAATATATGGAGAAAATGAATTAAGTTCACCAATCAGGAATCTTAATAGTAACTAACAGCTAATGTTAAGGAACTTGTAACTGTTTCTGTGCTGATGCTTTTTTTGTGGATTAGCTCACACAGCCTTATGAGGTCTGAGCTGTTATTTGCATCAACATTTGAAGTGAGGAATTGGATGCTGAGAGGTCTGGTCACCTGTCTGTGGTTTCATAGCTTGGAAATGGAATCCAGATAGGAAGCATGCAACAGCTTGTGTTGTCTCAACAATTAATACATTTTGTGACTAGTGAGCTTTCTAGTCACTAGAGAATGCATGAGACTTTCTCAGTTCCCCAAGAGCAACTAATAATTTTATATGTGTGTTTTTTTTTTTAATTATTTCATATCTCTCCTTATAGACTGTGAGACCTCTGAAAACTAGGTCTGTCTCTTTGGTTCACCACTGTGTATTCTACAAGTGAAGCACCATGGCAAGCTTAGTTCCAGTTGGTTAAATGAATGAATGAATTTATCATGACGGAGTCTTCTCAAAGGAACCACTTTGCCCTCTCTCACCCTGTGGCACACCTGAGCTTATGGAGATAAAAGTATTTGGTTTTTTTTTTGTTGTTGTTGCCTCATTTCTCTCTTTGCCAAGAAATACTTTGGTTTGAAAAAACTAAAATTCTGTGTACACCATTTTAAAACCTTGTCAAATTTCATAGTTTTTTGTGCCAAGAACTATTTTTATTCTTTCTAGTCAAAGAGGAACTCAGCCCTTTCTTGATGTCACACCAGAATAGGAAGAGCCCAAGCTGCATTGTCTTCTTGGCCAGGGATGTGAAATTGGGGTATGGACTTCCTCTCCCAAGGAGGCCATCCACTTTCCTTTCCTTCCAGGTGCTTCCCTCTGTGCATGTTGCTGGCCCCTTTAAAAATATCCACCATGAGTTTGGATGCACCAGCTTTCTAGTCTCCCCCTCTCCCACTAAGGCCCTCACTGAATGTCTTCATACTGAAAGTCAGGAATAAATTCTGGGGATACAGTGGGGTGTGGGACAATAGAATGGTTGAATATTTGAAATAAAGAACACGTGGATTCTCTGGAAAAGAAAATCGGAAAATCCATAAACATGTCCTGATCGGACAATGACCGCAGTGTGTTGTCCTCAGTGTAAGAACACAGTAAAAAAGCAGTTTTTAAATTAGTTACCAGGGTTTAAAGTGAAGGCGTTTCACATTAGTCCTACAGTTCTGACTTAACATTTCAGGGTTTGCCAGTGCTAGGCCCATAGTGTCAGAAACCACCCTGGGCTGGTGCTGAATAGCAGTTTCCATTAGCCAGGCCAAGTACCAGCTCCCCTTTCCGGCTCCCATTTCTGGTATCTGTCACTCAAAGTAGGCAATGGGTTTGTGCTTCCTGTTTACTGGTTATAATCTAGCTACATTTTGTATAATTTTTATGGTCCTGTGAGCATCTCTGCATATTGGGGCTTGGTAAAGATTTGAGTTGTCTGAAATAAGATTGCATTACAGCTATAAACAAAGTTTAGAGTTGATGATGGAACACTATGAGAGACAAAAATAATTGTATCCTGTATTCAAAAAATTATAATTTAATCTCAGTTCTCTAGAGAAAAAAAAGAATACTTTTTAAATTGTATTTTATTTCTGAACACACTTTATTTCAAAAGGTGTCTTTCAGGGGCAAAAAACAGGACAAAATCATACTGAAGCAGGCTTCCTTGATGAATGTGCCCTTGTTAGAGTCCGGTAAAAGCTGCCTGGGCACGAGTTAAACATTCATATTCCCAGGTCGTCTCTGGCACATGTTTAACTTGGAGTTGAGCCAGTAAATCCTTCTGTGGCAATTGCGCCTCTGGTTACTCTCTGCAGGCAAATTTAGGACATCCTGACCTCATGCTTGGGTGTTTAGCCTTTTGTTGTTATTGCTTAGGAGGAAGTCTTTAGTTTTTTTGAGGGTATTGGTGCGTTTTTGTTCTCCGCATGTTCTTGGTGAACTGACTTACTCTATAGTAATGTAATTAGCTATACCATTTGAGGGTCAGTGGTTTTATTCAGAATGCTTCTGTTTTCCAGTGAAGTAGAGGTGTATCCCTTTTATTTCCGTCATACATAAAGCTTAACATTGAGACAATAAAAGTGTTTCCAAGGCCACACAGCAAATTAAAAGAAGAGTCAACAAAATCTAAATCTTTCAATTCCAGGGTGATATATTCCTATTTCCATCTATCCTTAACTTCCAGGTTCTGAATAAACAGAATAAGAATCTGATTCAGAATCCCTGGCAGTCTTTGCCCTTAGACAAATAGGAGAAAGATTTCCTTTTAAATAGTAGGAAGATTTCCTGCTAAGTACAGAAACTCCCTCCAAGGCCCCTAGGACCTTGTAGGCAAAGTGCCTGTGCCCACCTACCATCACCTCCTCAGGTGTGTCCTAAATCATAACCTCACTTGAGCGCTCCCCTCCCCCCTGCACCTTTTGTCTGCAAGTTAACTAGTTGCAGGTAGGGGAACGGGGTCATTAAGAAGCTGGACTTTGGAGCCACATTGCTTGCCTTTACTCTTGCCTTGGGCTTGGACTGGTTCAGTGACCTTAGGCCTCTTCCTCACCTGTTAAATACTGGAGGTATCTACCTCATAGGCTTATTGGTTGTTGGTTTTGTTGTTGTTTTTTAAGTTTGAATTAATACAGAAAGTGTTAGAAAGGTGCCTGACTCATGTTTAAAATTTTTTTTATTAACATTCATTCTGCTAGTTGTCTAACCTTCAAATCTTTGCCAAGGTAACTCTTCATTCCCCTGCTCCTAATCAGGTAACAGTGAGCACTTCTGTCCTTCCTCTTTGCAATTCTTACCTGCTCCTTGACATTTACTAATCCATCTTTCCTCCCTTCCAATTTACTGGCTGGTCCATATTCCTGCTTTATTAAGTGCGTGTATATATATATATATATTTTTTTTTTTTTTTTTTCTTCTTCTTCTTCTTGTTTTAAAACTGCACGGCTTTTTAAAATCAAGTCATGACTGCTCACTACTCTGTACTCACTGCTGGTGTGGCATAAGACACCCTTGCTATGATGACCTCTGCCCTAAGTAGCCAGGATGGTGAATGTCATCTCCCCCCTTCCTTGAACATAACCGGTAGCTTCATTTCTTTCCCCTCTTTACAAATTGTTTGTTCTGTAAATCCCATGATCTCCCCCTCTTTGAAAGTATTATACTACTTGTTTCTAAAATTGTTTTACCTCCTACATGTTACTGTTTAGTTTCTCTTGCAATCCTCAGATAGGCTAATACTGCTTTCACAAGTAAAGCCTAGACTTCCATAGCTTAACATAAAGTTCTCATTCTTGTAACAGTTCAGTGTGAGTATCCTTTAATGCAGAAGTTCAGGGACATACTGTCATCCAGAGGTTCTGCCATTGGAAGGGCTTTACTGGCAGAAAGATAAGAGGAGAACAGAAAAGGAAATGCTTAATCTGCTGGACTCTGCAGTGACACCAAACCAGGCTACTGGGAGGTAAGGGGAGCTATGAAATGTAGTGTTCTTAGTGAGGTGGCTTACTGCCAACCACTCTACTGGTACATATATATATATATATATATATGTTTTGTTTTGTTTTGTTTTTTAATAAAATACAGTATTCTCTGAAGCAGAATTCAGTATATATGTGAGCTAATGGCAGAGCAGGAGGACTAACAAGTTGGACGAAGGTTTAAGTGAGTCTTTTGAGTCTATTATCAGGCAGATTTGATTTGAATTTTGCTCCCACCAATTACTGAGTGTGGACGGTATTTATCTTGCAACCTTCAGTGGTTGTGATCATTATATCAGCATTATAAAGCTGTTGTGAAGTTGGACTGCAGGACTCTACCAGGCGTGCTGCTAATCCTCCTTATCTTGTTATTACTACACAGGCCCAGTTCCTTTATTGATGGTCTTACAGAAAGGTTCAAACAACTGCCATGTAGCCGTTTGATAGAGGTGGAGTGAAAGTAGCTGCAGGCGACCTGCCACAGGCTGGGACTTGAGAGACCCAGATTAGAGTCCAGAATTTACTAACTAGTGTGTGACTTGGGCAAGTCATATAATTTAGGGTTTTCATTCAGTGTGATCTTTTAATTTCAACCTGTCAGGAATTATGTGGCACAGGGTTAAATCCCGTGACATTATTGTGCTTTGTTGTTGCTATATTAAGGAGCTGTTGCTTTGTAACTGAAATTTTAGTATTTAATACTAAAAACAGATATTTTTGGGATTTTACTAATATTAAGAACATTTAACCAAAAACACATTTTTAGTATTGTTTAATTCTAGTATTGATTTTAAAATACTGTAATCACAGATAGTCCCATCAGAGTACATATTGAGGAAAACACAGAAACTGAATTGAGAATATTTTCAGAGAAAGATTTTGTTTGTCTTGTAGGCATTTTGTTCCCAACATCACCTTTGGTCACCCTGTGGTAGAAAGCCTCCGAAAGCAGCTAGGCCAGGACCCTTTCTTTGGTAAGTGGGGTTATGCCACCTGAAGCTGGATATGTTACTCAAGTAAAGGAAAACTAGATGGTTGATTGCCCAATTTCCAGGTTTATCTTGAGCCCTTTTCTCTTCCCCTCAGTCTTCATTGGTTTCCTCCTAAGCCAGACCTGCTGTTGCCTCAGGGCTGCTGCACTTTTGCTGATCTCTTTGCTGGAAAGCTCCTCTCTTGGCTAGCTTGTCCTCTGCCCACGCCTTTTTAAGTATTCAGCCTGAATAAACCTTTATCCAGTTATCAATATTGCTTGTTGATTTTCTTCCTAGAACTTCCTTCTTTCAGTAGTTGCTTTGTTTGACTATAAATGTCTGGAGGGCACAGCTGTCTTCTACTTTGTTTACACTTTACCCAGAGCGAACCATAGGTAGTTGCTGGATTGGTGTATGCAGTGTAATTTGTTAAACCAATTTCCAAACTGTATAGTCTAGAAGCAAAACCAGTTCATGCAAATAGGAGCTTCCTGTGTGTAGGCTCCACCCCAATGTAACAGGATAATAAGAATTAGGATATTTAAGAAGTCACTTCACGGAGAAATGGATTCAGTCCAAGTCCTTTGTTGTGGTTTTAAGCAAAGCTAATGCCTCACATGCCAGATTTCATCTACAGAAGAAATTTAATGTGTTTTGATTTAACTCCTGGAATTTAGTAAAATTCAGGTGTTTTTTTTTAAAGATTTATTTATTTGTGCATACAGAACTGGGGTACAGGCCATAGGCTGAGGGGCGGTGAGAGGCTTCACCAGAGACAGAGCGGGGAGCAGAACAGTCAGATCGACGAAGTACACTGCTGAGGGGAGCAGCTGGCGGGCCAGGAGAGGTCTGCCACGCCATGTGGTCACCTCCGGGGCAGGCGGGGATCGAACTCATGCGGAAGCGGCTTTTAGCTTCTCAGTGCTGCGCTTTAAGCCGCTGCGCCACCAGGGAGGGCCTCAGGTGTTTTTTTTTTTTTAAGTGGCATATTATGGACCAGTTTTCTGAAGGAGTCTAGTTGTGTTCAAAATGGTAGCCACATGTGGCTGTTTAAATTTCAGTTAGTTAAATAAAAATAAAATTGTTTCTCACTGGCATTAGCCACGTGGCACTTGCACTTTAGTCACATGAGACTTGTAACTTTGTTCTGCATAGTGCCACTGTGAACATGCCTTCGTGTTGAAAGTTTTGTTGGACAAAGCTTCTCTAGACAGTATCCATTCACTTCACCAAAGAAAGCTTATGTTGTTGCCTAATTTCTGTGGCATGAGGGAAATATGTTCCAACACCTTTACATTTTGAAAATGCCAAATAATGGGAAAAAGTTTGATTCTCTAACTCTCTTCTGTTACATTTTAGAAAATGCATTTTTTTTTCCAAGCCAGTTTGTTCTTACATTTCAGGGCTGGCTGAAGTAAGTCGTACTGCTTTTACCCACACCTGGGGCTCGTTGTTTCCTGGACTTCTGGCTTTATGTGAATCAAAGAACGTTTTTGCTTTTCTCGCCCCTTAATTTGGGCTCCTCATGTAACTTCTCACTGTTTCCTCTCTCTGCTCTTGTCAACCCTATAGCCACACAACCAATTTGCTGCTTCTTCTGTTTTTCATTTACATCATAGCAGCTTTGCTAGTTAATCTTTCTAGCAGTGGGTCTAAATAAAAATGTATGCAGTCCATATGCTTTAAGTTTTTGTGACCCTTTTTATATTAGATGTATTTTTTGTTGTTACTTAATTCTTGAATCTGGTTGCTGGATAGTTGATTACGGGAGAATATTCTAGTTAACTGACAAGTTGTTTATGTACTAAGGATTTTAGCTGTTCAATCTTAGTGCTGAGTAGAAATAACCATATGAGAAGTGAAGTGATAGGAAAAAAGTTTGTTTTTGCTGTTACTTAAATAAGCAATCTTCTAGTATGTTCTGACAACCCAAGGAATCTCTCTCAGATGATCCATGAAGTGGAAACTATCATATTCTGACAACCCAGGGAATCCCTCTCAGATAATCCATGAAATGGAAACTGTTTTCATATTGTCTGCCTTTATTTGTAACAATTTTGGAAAAGTAGTTGTGTCTGCTAATACTTTGGTCAAATCAAGGCAGTAGTCATTATGTCCATCATTGTTTTGTGTTCATAGCAGGTATTTCTGATAAAGCAGTGCAAATTACTAATTTTAGGAAACCTTGAGCCATGAGTACATGTCTTTATAATATTTTGTGTCACTGAGTGGGAAGTATTTATAAAGCACTTCTGTGTATCTTAGAGAGAGAAACTAGTGGCCCCTCTGTTTGAGTTGCACACAGTAGGTGCTTTTTTCATGAACATTATTTTTCGCTTGAAAGAACTGTTGATTGTCAGACTGATCTTACTGATACTTTCTTCAAATGTGTTTGTCATTTAAGGGAAAAAGAAGTAAGTTCGAATTGAGCCTGCTTTTTAAAAACAAAGTTTTACCTGTTAAAATATGTTCTGTCTTTTTTTACTTTCTGGCTTAGGAATGTAAGCATTAATCTTACCTCTGTAAGTCATGCTGTATACTCTCCCAACTAACATTTTTCAAAGCCATATTGCATTTTATGCCCTTGCTTTAATTCTTGAATGCTGGAATTTTCTTTATTATATCTTAGCTGTGTCAAAATGTACTTCTAGCCAAATCAACAACCTCCAGACAACTCACTATCGTCTGTTCCCATAGGGGTATAGTACTTACTGTTCCCTCACATCTTCTTCACTGTGTTATTTCTTGCTTGTGCATCTTTTACGCTTTGCTTTCCTCATTAAATGCCAGTAAGGATTAAGATCTTTCAAGAATGTCATGCCTATTTAAACATAACATATTTCTGTGACGCAGCTTTAGATTAAAGTGCCTGTCCTGACTTGGAGGACTGCTTAGAGTTAACTGTTCTTGAGCCCGCTCCTCCTCCCGCAGTATTTGTCTCCTAGTGGCAGCGGTTCTGGCTGTGCAGGCCCAAATTCTTGTACTGTCCTGACACTCGCCCTCCTCCAGTCCTGTCGTCTCTGCCTTCTGCACACATGCAGAATCCCACCGGCTCTCGCTGTCCACACCTGCTGCCATTGTCATTTCTCTCTGGGCTATTGCTGTGAGCAGGCTGGGTCCCCTTCACTCAGATCCTGCAGTTGGCCTCAGTCGTTCAGAATAAGCCCAGGGGCCGGCAGTACCGCACTGTCTCTCTTCACTCTGTGCCTCTGGCTCATCTGCCCGTCCCAGCGCTTCCCTGCCTGCTATCCTAACTACCTGTCCTAACTACCCACCACCAAACTTTTTTTTTTGCTCGTTGTATCTTTTGTCTCTTCTGCTTAGAATGTAATCCCAGACAGCAGGGATTCTGAGTTCACTCTGTCCCTTGGGCTTAGAATAATTGGTGGTAAATGCTTAGTGCATGTGAGTGGGAACACGCATTCAGTTTTACCTTCTACACATGAGGAAGTACATCCACATAAGCAATAGACTTATGTGCATTTCCTGAACTTGCACCTATACCTAGGATTTCTGACTTTGTTATTGCTTTTAATGTACAGAGTTGTGTGCTTTTTGTAGAAGAATGCCTTGTAAATGAGTTAAACCAAAATCTTATTTTCAGGCTAAAGGAATATTAGCTGTACAGAAGTATACCTAATGAACGATTACTGTGATGCCAGCACAGTTTATATACAAGTAGCAAAAACTACAGTTGACTTGGATAATCTGAGCCAGGTGTTTTCCTTTCAGTAATATTTAGGAGCTGTGTCTTTTCTTTCTAGACATGCACATGATGGTTTCCAGGCCAGAACAGTGGGTAAAGCCAATGGCTGTAGCAGGCGCAAATCAATATACATTTCATCTCGAGGCCACTGAGAACCCAGGGGCTTTGATTAAAGACATTCGGGAGAATGGGATGAAGGTGAGAGGTCAGCGGTGACTGGCTTATACTGTTCATTCTCAGAGTTTGGCACATTGGACGAAGACAAGAGCTAGATAGTGAAGGCCGTGTGAGGCGCTTGTTCTCCAGCTGGGAAACCAGCATTTAAGTATTATTTGTTTATCAGATAAAAATTGCCTAATGCTTTCTGACAGTTACTACCTTTTAGAAACATTTACATTTGATTTTGTTTGTTGATTTATTTTTAATATAGTCTAAACATTCTATGTTTTTATACTTTTTTAAGAATAAATCTCTTTTGAGCCTGACGTGCCATAATCAGATGATGCAGCAAATTTGTCCCTGTTGCAGGTTGGTCTTGCTATCAAACCAGGAACTACAGTTGAGTATTTGGCACCATGGGCAAATCAGATAGATATGGCCTTGGTTATGACAGTGGAACCCGGGTTTGGAGGACAGAAGTTCATGGAAGATATGATGCCAAAGGTAAAGATGGATTTGATTCTGCGGTGTATTGTGTGTGTTCACTCAATAAGCACATGGTTGGTCTCTTGATACTAGATACATCATGTCCTGTAAATGGGGAGGCCTGCTTAGCATTTTAATACAGTACAGTAAATGCTGTGAGATCTAGGTTTGGAAATCAAGAAATAATTTCACATCCTAATCTTGAAGTTTTCTTTCAAAATTATTATGTCTGTAGCCTTCAGATCTCTGAGCATTTTCATAGAGAGCTTTGTTCTTGTCTTGTTTACATGAAGTATATTCTTGGCACAGTCATGTCAAATTGAATGATATATACCGAAAAGAATAAAGCTTGCTTTTATAGAAGTTTGTTTCCATACATTAAAAGGGAAGTTTCCCCAGTAATATTTTGTATTGCTAGACAATATTATATGGAATATTTTAAATGCTAATTTTGGCTGTGATTTTAATGGGTGCTTGTCACTTCTCTCCCTCCCCCTTAACACCCCCCCACTCCCCCACCTAGCCATTTTAGGAGTCACTTATTTTCTTGTTTATATCTAGGTACACTGGTTGAGGACTCAGTTTCCATCTTTGGACATAGAGGTCGATGGTGGAGTAGGGCCTGACACTATCCATAGATGTGCAGAGGTGAGCCTGCTCCTTGTGTGTAACCAGGAACAGTTTCCTTTCATGCAGTGTCCAGGACATTGCCTTAGGGCCAAAGAGATTTCCTTAACTGCTTTTCTTTCTTGGAGAAGTACTTGTTCTAATCTAGAACTAGGAAAATAAAGAACAGTAAGTGATTATTCTAAAATTAGATGATCATTAAATAGTAATTTCAGTAATTTCCTTTTGTCTTACTAATGCTGAATAGAGTTCTTTTTTTTTTTAAAGAATATTGAATGCCAGCTTTCAGAAGATCATTAAGTTCTAAGGCCTTGGGATGAGACATTTTTCCAAAATAGAGAAAGAAAATATACTCCTTATAAAGGGGGAAAAATGTTTTTCTGTAGAATGTAGGTATGTTGTACCTTGTATGAAATGACTAGAATCATTGTTGATGAAAGATCAAGGTGATTCTGGCATTCCTGCTCTTTTGGCCCTCTGTGTAGAAGTGGGATGAGGTTTGTTTTCTAGTGGCTGATCCGGTAGTCTCCTGAGCTTCCTAAGATGATGCCAGCCCTCCCTATAGCACTGCAGGTGGTTAAAACTTATGATCTGCTTTCATTAAGCAGTGTGCTTTTTCTGCACTTCGAGTTTCTTCTATACCTGTGACACTTTTCTGCTTGATAGTTTTGAATTATCAAATTGTGATAAATATTAATTGAAGAGGTGACTAGTGAGTATATTGCCTTGACCCCTTATACAATTGCTTTGTTCTAAACTGTGCTTTACCATTATGCTTAGTCTTGCTGAAATTAAAAGACATAGGAAGCAGGAATGCCACAAACTGATTTCTATGACTCCTATGAGAAGTGTTTGAGTGTAGTGCATGGTATTGCAGAAATGTTTTACTAGGGAAGTCCTCAGTTCAGTATTTACTCAATAGTTCCCCCCTTTCTTCTAGGAATGAATCATGTAATATGCTGGATTTCCCTCTTTGAGTCACAAACTAAGCTTGGGAAGCTTAGAATTCTGTCGCTAAATTTGGATTCATCTTACTTGCTCTTCTGATTTATTTCCACATTTAAAAACAAAATCTTTTTAGAACCCATTCCAGAATGCAGTGAAAATTAATTTAAAAGATGTTCTATTGCTGGCATCAAAATGAGAAATTTTTAAATGTTGCCATGTTTTATGTATAGGTTCACATTTTAGCAGTAATTATCCTTTTATACTCTAGCAATTCATGTGTATAATTCAGAGACATAGAGTTTGATTTTCAGTAGCTGTCGGCCATTGGTACATACTGGAAAAAGCTTAATAAGCTGAGATTAAAGTTTTGAAGTCTTAACCTAGGCACTAGCAAAAATTCTGCATTGTAACTCACAGTTGGTTGCCAGAAGTCAATGATTTCTTAGATATAAAAATTTCAGCCTTTTAAACTTCTTTCTTCATTGAATAGGATTGATTAAGTCTATTCATTTTGGAGTGATTGTTTTTATACAGTTGCATTGATGACTGCCTGACGCAGACTCTAGTCCAGGGCTTCTGTTACAGGCTTAATCTGCATCTTCCTTTAAGGTGTAACCTAAATGTTTACTTCTTCCAGGCAGGAGCTAACATGATTGTGTCTGGCAGTGCAATTATGAGAAGTGAAGACCCCAGATCTGTGATCAACCTGTTAAGAAATGTTTGTTCAGAAGCTGCTCAGAAACGTTCTCTTGATCGATGAAACAGCAGGGAACCCAGTGTCGCTTCTCATGAAATCTTTCAACTGGAAAACAGGATTATTGACTACCAAATCATAATCACAGTTGAGGCAGTGCTGCTTTTCTGAGCAATTATACGTTCCAGTGACTAAAATCTATTCTGCACAATGTTCCAAGAGGTTAGAAATTGGGGTGTATAACTACAGTTTTAGTGATGGAATTTAAAGATTGGTGTGGTAAAATACATTTTACTGGGAGACTTGATTTTTTTATAAAGAGCAAAAATATGGCTGTATTAAGATTATAAGCAGAAATGTGTCTTAATATGCCCTATGGAGGGCATATTAGCAACTATGAAAAAAAGTGTTTTTCTGCATTCCTAAGGATTTTCTGTTGTTTCTTGGCTATTTTCCAAAATCAAAACAACTTACATTTTTCTTGTCACATTCTATTTGTGTATATGCCTAGTAATATAAGTAGAATAGAACTTATGAGAAATCTAAGTTTGAATATGGCTGAGGTGGCTTCCAAAACATTTATTTTTCACTGTCATCTTATATTTGATACATGAAGACCACAAAGACAAAACATGGCATCTAGGGATTTTCATTCTGTTCTAAAATGCAAGCATAGATTTTAGAAGAGTTTTCTTTGCTGGCTTCACTGAAGGGGCAGGTTATTCAGTGATCTCCCTCTCCCTTAATCATATGATCTTTAAGGGCTGGAAATACTGTGCTAGCTCTGAGACAAAGGAATGGAAGGCCTCTACTGAGCAGCAGTACCAAGTTCAATCCTGACTTTATTTGCCATTTAGCAAATTAAATTAACCAGTCTTTGAGTTTCTATTAAATGCTATTTACATTGAATGTAACTATAATAACTATCAGGAGTATTTGAGGATTAAAAGAGATAACTGGTAAACGTACTGTTTCTAGAATTTCGTGTAATCTCATTACAATCTACAAATCACGCTCCTGAGTGTTAAGAGAGGTATTTAAGTCCCCTTTAAAAAGTGAAGAAACTTAAAGTCCAGCAATAGGCTGATACCATGGACTGAATTCAGTAGGGCATAGGATTTCCAGTCTGTATTTGTTTTTAAATAAATGAAGCCCTTAATTAGTAGAGGAAACAAAGAAAGCTTGCTTTACTTAACATTGTCTTATTTCCAGTCTAAAGTTACCCAGTAGCAGAACCACATGGCTGAAAATATTCTGGAACTATGGATTCTGACCCAAAGGATCTGTAATTTTTAATCCAAGAAAGACCAGGTGGCTGAGATGACAAGGTACAAAGCTAATCCATAAACTAGATATTTAAAGTTGTTTCCCAGCTTACACTTCAACAACAGATATGTATTAGCTACTTCCTTCATGTGAAAACACTCTTGATTATATAAAATGTGTTGATAAAACAGGATGTGTCATTTAACATGTTTAGGCTATTATGAGTTTAGAGTTTGCTTGCTTTTTCTAGATTATAAGGTAAAATTTGTATATGTTAGTTTTTTCTGGCTTTAGTTTTGTGCCATCAGTAGGTGGTGTTTAATCAAATCAGGTAACACAGGCATATAGAAATAACTTTAATTAAAAAACTTACATAGAAGATTATAATATCAGACATGACAAAAGATTTGAGTTTATTTGCCTGGACAATTTGAGTTTGTCTGGCTCACGTTTTCTTTTTTAAAAAATAAATGTACAGTAAAACTACAAGCAAAAATGTCAGTATTGAATTTTTTTTTTCTCATTGAAGGGACCAGTATAATTTCTAATCCCTAACAAAAACTTAGTGTCAAATCCCCCAGACGAGGCCATATGGCCAGGATTGTCAGTTATATAGATACTACAACTTGTATAACCTTTTATACTTGAGAAAAAGGATTCATATAAATTGTCAACTTTTACATAGGAAAAAATGATGTATTTGTTTCAAAAGGAATTTCCTTAATGTAGACTCCAATATCCTATATTGAAGCATATCTTTTGAAAAATTTTAATTCTCATTCTTGGATACAAGAAAGAATAATAGATGCTTAATTGAATAAAGTAAGCTATAGTAAGGAATGACCAAATTAACTAGAAATGCCACCATATTTTCTATACTGATAAGACTTTTCCTATTTGTTCCTTATTTTAAGTTGGTATTTTCATGAGATACATAAAATATTTAACTGTACTTTGTCTTATCTGTTCAGAATGCATAGAAATAATCTGTATTTAGTCCAACAGATATCAGTGATTTCAAATAAAGGAATATTGTGTTATCTGGTATAGAAATTCCATAAATATTTCTACTATTGGTTTAACATACTTAAAAAATTTACTTTCCATAGTCTAAACTTTCAGATGTTCATTATCAGTAGATACCTGTGCTGCTTTATTTATGCTGCAGCTTGCATTCCTGGGGTAGTTCATGCATACATTTTCAAGTGGGTTCACACCAGTGTTTTTTTTTTTTTAACTGTGTGTATATGTATGTATACACTGTACACACATTTGTAAATGCTAATATTTTCTGAGGCAATTTTAATGGGCTATTGTATATAGAAAAAAAGCTGTCATTTGATCTACCAGGTATGTGTATATGGGTGTGTGGGGGGGAGGTGTAAAGTCTTTTAAAAATTATTTACCCAGTAATGTGATTTTATATCAAATTGCAGTAGTTAATTTTTGGGGTGCTTGTGATTTAGATCATAATCACAAATGACTAGCATTTGTCTGTAGGTGAAACTAGTATTCCTGTTGTTCAAGGAAAAAGAAATAAGCCTTGCCAGTTTCACAAACAGCATAGGGATTAATACGTGCAGTCATGCTCTTACTCTGGAAATGTGACTGAAGGGAGTGGGTGGGGGATGGAGAATAGGTTTTTATTTCCCTCCTGTTTTCTACTCAGTTGTATAGTGTTCTTAACTTGATACCTGTCACCTATTTTTTTTAACGTGAGTAAGTCCTAGACCAAAGGTTTTATACTCCATTCCTTCAGCCTGCCTCTTTGGATGGTGGCCATTCTCTGGTACACTGGCACAGAAGACTTCACCATGGAAAGCTGGGCTTGATCTTTCCATCTGATCATGCTTTTCTTTCTGACATAATAAGGCTTCTGTTTCTTCATCCTTCAGCGGAAAAACACGTCGTTCCCACCACAAGGACTGAAAGAGAACACATTATCAGTTAAGTTTCAACTAATTTGTTTTGTTTAAATTTATGTATCTAATAATTCATGAGTGGCAATTTTAGAATAACTTTTACCTTTGTTCTTTAGCACATAAAGTATGAAAACTTCCATTTGCACCTAAAATCTAGCAACATTTCAAAATGGATGATGTTGAGTTAAAAGATTTTTTTAAGTGACATACATTGTTGGTTTCAGGTATATAACAATGATTTGATATTTGTGTATCGTGCAGTAGAATAATTAATTCCTGTTTTTGCAACTTTTCATAGTTGCAAAACTTTGTTGCTGCATATAGACCTCATTATATCTGCTACATCCCTGTGACTTGTAACTTAAAATTTATACCTCTTGAACCCCTTCATCTAGCTCATTTGACCACCTTACTCTCTTTCCTCTGGTAACATTAATCTGTTTTCTATATCACAAATGACATGATTTCAGTATTTATGACTGCACAATATTCTGTGTGAATTTATCTCAAGGTTTTGGTTTGAATTTCTTTGATTAGTAATTTGAGCATCTCTTCATGTGACTGTCAGTCATCTATATGTTTTTGTTTTTTGTTTTTTTATGCCCATTTTTTTAGTTGGATTGCTTGGGATTTGTTGTTACCAAGTTTATGAATACTTCATATGTACTTGAAATTATCACTCATCAGATAGGATTTGCAAGTGTCTTCTCCCATATTGTAGGTTGCTTTTATGGTGTTATTCTTGCTGTACAGAAATTTTTAAGCTTGATATGGCCCTATTTCTATTTTTGTTTTCATGATCCTTGCCTTTGGAGTCAAATCCAAACAAAATATCAGTAAGACTATTAATCTTGCCTGTTTTCTTTCAGGAATTTTACAGTTTGAGATATTACGGTTTATTACAATCAGAGTTTTTAATCCACTTTGAGTTTGTTTTGGTGTAATACACCAGTCGAGTTTCCTTCTTTTGTGAGTGGCTAGCCAGTTTTCTCAGTATGATTTACTGAAGAGACTGTTTCTTCCCCATTGTGTATCCTTGTTTCCTTTGACATAAATGAACTAAACAGGTATGGGTTTCTTTCTGTGCTCTTTATTCTGTTCCAGGATCTATGTTTTTATGATAGTAAGTCATGTGTTGCTTAAAAGTAGGTAAGTTCTGAGAAATGTATTAGGTGATTTCATCATTGTGAACTATTACAGATTGTAATTACACTAGTCTAAATAGCTTAGCCTGTGTCACACCTAATGCTGTACAGCATCGCTTGTTGTGACCACTGTTGTACGTAGGGTCTGTCACTGGCCAGAGCATCACCACATGACACCTGACTGCTGTGCTCTTTTGCTTACTCTAGGTTTGAAATACAGCTTGAAGTCAGGAAGCATCCTGTCCTGCCTCCAGTATTTTTTTTTTTTTTTAAGATTGCTTTGGCTATTTGGGGGTCTTTTGTGGTCCTATAGAAATTTTAGGACTTTATTCATTTCTGTGAAAAATGCTATTAGAATTTTGATAGCGATTGCAGAGTATGCACATTGCTTTGTGTAGTATAGACATTGTCATATTAATTCTAACAGTCATGAACATGAAATATCTTTACATTGTGTCTTCACTTTCTTTCAGCATTGTACATTTCACTGTACAGGTCTTTCACCTCCTGGGTTAAATATATGTATGCCTAGGTATGTCATTCTTTTTTGATGCAATTATAATGGAATTGTTTTCTTAGTTTCTCGGTTTCTTCATTGTTACTTTTTATAATTAATCATGTTTGTATATTGATTGTGCCGTACATCGTTACTGATGAGTTTTATTTCCTCCTTTCCAGCTTGATGCCTTTATTTTTTTCCTGCTCAACTGCTAGCTAGGAATGCAACTACTTTGTTGAAAGTAATGAGGGTGGGTATTACTGTCTTGTTCCTCATCTTAAGGAAATGAGCTTGGCTTTTCACCTTTGAATAAAAATAGTGTGAGTTGTCAGGTACAGCTTTAATGTGAAATACATTTTCACTTTTTTGTGGGATTTTATTGTAAGTGAATTTTGAATTCTGTCAGATGTTTTTTCTGCACTGAGGTTGTCATATTATTTTCATTCTTTGTTGCTGTTGTATATCATCTTGATTGTTTTGTGAATATTGGACCACCCTTGCATCTCTGGAATGAATGCTACCATATCATGATGTATGATCCTTTTAACATAATTTTGAATTCAGTTTGCTCATAGCTTATTGAGGATTTTTACATCTCTATTCATAGAATTTTCTTTTTTTCTGGTGTCCTGGTCCAATTTTAGTCTCAGAGTGATTCTGCTATCATTTAATAGGTTTCAAAGCATTTCCTCTTTAATATTTTGGAAGAGTTTGAGGTATTGTATTTTCAAATGTTTGATATGTACTTCCTATGAAGGTGCTCGTTTCCATTTTCAGCACAGGAGTACTTTGGGATTTCTCTTACGAAAACGGTTGTCCATATTTCCATTTTTCATATTGTCGTTACAGGCAGCTATTGACTTTATGAGTTTTCTACAACTTATTATTTCTCTATTCTCCATGCATTTCATTCTAGATGGTTTTTTCTTTTCCAACACCTACTTATGAAGACAGGTACATGCATTTTTAGATGCAGTGTTAGAAAACATTTCCCTTATGGCTAGAATTGGATCTTTGGTGAGACAGTAAAAATCTTTTATAAAGAGAGAAATTGTAGCTAAAATTTACTGCGTTCTAATTGGTAAACAATTAAGTGACTAAGTGGAATTTGGTACTGACATGTTACATTAGAATAGAGTCTGGGATTCAGATTCTCACATGGCATTCTATTCTGAGTTGTCACATTGATTTTGTTTTGTAATACTGATTACTTAATTTACAACAAGCAATTTCTATTAAAAACTTTAAAAGGCATTTGAGGGGTCGGCTACTAGTCACTTGTATTCCACTCACCTTGGCTTCATGGCTTTCGTTTAGTGGAAGAGCAGTGTGAGCACTTAGGGCATGGCTTTCTAGGGAGGGCTCAGCTGGACTCTCTGCAGCACAATGCTGACCACCACTGAAGTCATTTGGGTAGTCTTTCACAAGCAAGTCCTGTACTTCCACATTTTTAGTGAACGTTCTAGCAAGAAAATCAAGAAAATGTTTATTTAAGGCCTGGGTATTTTATGAATTCCCCATGCTTTCATTGTGTCATTTTAACTTGTAATCTTTAGGTTCTGTGTAGAATATTTAAAAAGTAATCTTCAGATCCTCTTAAAAGATACTATCTTCCATATATCATAGATTAAAATAATACATTAAGAAACTTTTTGCTGAATTATAATCCTAATTTTGTTATTGGCTTGCGTCCCCTCCCCTAGCAAATAAGAACAGTTACTTTACCCTTAATGGTCTTTCTGAATTTAAGCTCCCAAGTAGTCTTAGGTAATGTCATTCAAAATGACTCAATTCACATTTTCATGAGAAATATAGAAAGTTGAATCTTATACGATAAATTCGATAGGATCTACAGTAAATCTGTATTTTAACAACAGTAATTGAGAGATGGTCCCTCATAAAAGGATACCAGACTTCAACCTGATCTTGCTTTTTGAATTTAGTGTTTTTAAACCATTATATATATATATATATATATATATATTTGTTCATACAGAACTGGGGTACAAGCCAGAGGCTCAGGGGTGGCGAGAGGCTTCACCAGAGACAGAGTGGGGAGCATAACAGGCGGATCTATGAAGTACACTGCTGAGGGGAGCAGCGGGCGGGTCAGGAGAGGTCTGCCACGCCACGTGGTCACCTCTGGGGCAGGCGGGGATCGAACTCATGTGGAAGTGGCTTCAGTGTCAGTGTTGTGCTTTAACCCGCTGCGCCACCAGGGAGGGCCATATATATATATATATTTTAATAATATAATTGTTTATTTTTATGTCATTTTGTGCCTTTACCCCTCTCATTTGTAATCCTCATGGGCTTCCCATCATCATAGTCCAGTGCACTAACCACCACCTTGTTTTTGATCCAGTTCCCCACTCCACCCCTGTAAAATATCTATGGTATATGGTTTGTTTGTTTGTTTATTTATTTATTTATTATTATTATTTATTATTATGCCCCTGATCCTTTATATTCCTGCTATGAGTGAATCCATCCAGTATTTTTCTTTCTGGCTTATTTCACTAAACTTGATCCCTTCCAGTTATATCCATGTTGCTGCAAAAGGCATGAGTTTATCTTTTTTGATTGCTGAGTAATCGTCCATTGTATCTATGTACCACATCTTTTTAATCCTGTCATCTACTTTGGGCATTTGTAAACCCATATTTTTTAAAGTGGAAATGTTAAAACAGATTACCCAAATTCTAACCCCTAGTGTTACCTCTCCTATTAAAGTAAATGAAATGCCCTAACTTATCTAAGAAGGATTTTCACATTATTGGCTCAGTTAAATCTTCTATTGCTGAGGCTTCCAGTGACCTTGAGAATTACAGTGGAGTCACAAATAGACTGATGTAAGACTAGTATATACAGTATGTCACGTCTAGTGTACAAATAAATGATTTTTTTTAATTCATGCTATTCATTCATGATAAATTTTTGTTGCTTTCACAGGGAATCCATGGTTTTAAATTTTAACACTTACCTGCTGTTTCTTCTGTGCCATTTGCTTTGCTCCCATAGTGACCACCTGGCTTGCTCTCTCTCTTCGTACTTTTTATGTCTTAGGGAAAAGACTTCATCAGAAAGATCTTCTATCTGAAATTAGAATGAAAAGGTTTTGTTTTTATCAGAAACATTTGAAATATGAGAACAGATTTCAAGCAGATCCTCACCAAGAGAATAGGTAGAAGACTCCTTACTTAAGAGAACAAATGAGAAGAGATAGGCTTAAAATCCTTAAGAGAGTGTTAAAAACTTTTTTAATGTTGGGGTCATGTTTGAAAACTTACCGAGATTACAAATAGGTCACAAGTCTTCCATTTACATAAAATATTCTTAACTTTTTAGTTACTCAGAAGTTTGTGCTGAATACCCATTTTTGAGTATACTGTTCTAGCAACAGTAAAACTGCTAGAACAGTTTCTATCAAGAGAACAGAGAACACTTACTATCAAACTGGTTGAGATAAATGATATTAGTTTTAAGAGCTGGGCTTCTAAGACTTTGGTTTTATAGTTTTAAGAATGTGAGCTTCCTGGCTAAAATCAATGTGAACTTAGGAAGAATGCATTTAAAATGAATTTTTTAAAAGTAATTTTTGGTGACTGAAAAATAGTGGGTGTTATCACCTGTGGATTACAGGATGTATGCACCACATTTTAATAAAATACTGAATTTTCCTAATTCAAATTCAGTTCATAGCCTTGAATATAGAAACTCACATAAATTCAGTATCTCAGCTTAAACAATCTGTTACAGTTTTACTTTTCTCTATGCATCGTTGTCTTTGCAGTCAGCTATGCACAGAAACATTTTTTTAATCAAATTAATATCACAAGTGAAAATAAATTGTCAGTTAAAGAGCTATTTCCCTTTAGTTCCTTAAATACTAAATTTAGCACGCTTCATGATTTATGATATACAATTATTAAGTCAACTTACCTCCTCTTCTCCTAAATTATATTCATCCAGAGGCTGAAGAACAACCATCCTCCAGCTGTTGAAGATAGAATTTCAAACAGCTTTTGTTAATCTACCTTAATGTAACAGTTTTATTCTCTAACCACAGGTTAATACAGGAGCTTTTAGTTCTTTGGGACTTACATAATTAAAATAGTTGTATTTTAATAACTTTTTTAAAAGAAAAGTAATTTATATTATGAAAAAAGAAAAAATATACTTTATACTTTAGACCTTATTACAGTGAACACTCTCCACAGTTGCATGTTACACTTAAGAATGTACTAATTTTGGCTCATTATTAGTATGCTGATCAACTGATTGAGAAAAAAAAAAAATAAAAAATACTGTTTTGTAGAATTTGCCAGTTCATGTAAGACCTTCCCACCATGACCTCTTTTAAATTTTAATGACTAGATCGCAGAATTTCTCATACATTTGTTCAACTACCCATTTTTAGTTTATCACAATAAATTGAAAAATACTTTTGCTAAAGGATACCATAACCATAAATCTTCCTTACTTAGAAAGTATCAACAGATTGTAGAGATTCTTATCACACCTCTAAAGTATTGTTCTCTTACTACTTCAAAATAACTCACCCAGATCACATCTTTCTAACCCTTTTTCCCTACTTTTCCCTGTTGCCAGATTAACATTCTTAGGAAACTGGTTTAATGTTTGAGCCAGTAGGCAGCAAGTCTATGTAAGGTATCCAACCCTCCATGGTGTGACCTCTTCTGGCTTTAACTTCCCCTTTTGCCCTACATAAAACCTCAGCCTCTGGCTGAACCTAACAGACTGTGCCCCTTTACTGTGGTCTCCCTATATTTGTATACTCTCTGCCTGTCCCTCTTTCATGGGTGTCTTTCTGGGCCTTTCTACTCATCTTTGTACTTAATGTATTTATTTATTGCTGAACCTGGCAATAATCATAATATATTTTTGTTGTTCCAGGTGCATGTAAGCCTTTTATGAACCTTGTTTTGTACAAGTTTTGCTACCTTGTACAAAACTTTCACTTTAAAGGCCAGAGGGGCTGTTACCTTCATAACTTTTAGTGCATACACATAATAAACACCTAAACATTACTAAATGAGAAAGGCATTCTAAGGATGCTAAGTAAGTTTTAGAATTTACTTAGGAACTTATCTTAGAACGATAAATGAAAACAGGAAGTAAAATTGTGATACTATATGGTACTTTTTTTCCAAGCATGAATAATATAAAAGTTTTTTCACCACTTTTTTTCTTGTTTGTAAGTCAAAAGAAGGGAGCACTTCCTTACATTAATTAAAATTTTAGTTTCATTCATTTTGATTTAAGAAAAAGGAAGAAAAAAAATAAAAGATGTACATATACATACCTTGGAGTAAGTATTTCCTTGTATTGGAGTTTCTCTAACTTAGCTGGGGCCACTAATGACATAGGAATCACAATATTATCTATATCATAGGAGCTCTCGCTTCTCAGTCTTCGTCGTGCTGTAGACTGCAAAACAGGATAAACATAAATTGTAGTGCTATTTAGCACCTGATGACATTTTCACGAGTAATATAAAGATATGGTGACAATGCACTGACTATAATTTTCACAAATATGTTGTTATAAAATCTGACTGTAGAACTTGAAGGAAAAACAAATAACATTTTAGCTTCTATAAGTCAGTACAATCCCTTTTGGCAGATATGGAGGGTACATTTGTATGCACATGCATACAAGCCTATTTTAAGTATCCAAAATATGAATACCTTAAATGCAAACATCAGAAAAGAGTACCATAAAGCACCTTATATGTTCATTCAATACTTTTAGCAATCTCACTTTTTATTAGGAAAGGTATAAAATACTTGGTGAATCATTTAGTAAGGTCATTATACAGTACTGACAATATAACGTTTATATGCACTATATGCACTGTGTTACATATAGTGAAGGTCATTACAATAACATTTGAAGTTTCTTTTAAAGATTAATTTATACATAAACAAGAGCTGGGATGTAGGCCAGAGGTGTGGAGGCTAGTGGATTCGCAAGACAGGTGGGAGCAGAACAGGCAGGCAGACTGCGGTGCCACTGGGTCAGCTCCCTGGCTTGGGATCGAACTCATGTTGTAGTGGCTCTGAATAGCCTCACAGTGCTGAGACTTAACCCTCCATGCCACCTGGGAGGCCCCAAAAGTTTTAAGTTTTTAACACAAAAATGCTGTAACCCAGGATTAATAAGCAATTAGTATTCTGGTTAAAAAAAAAGTGAATGAAATTTATTGTTTCCCAATAGGATAGTTGTAATGTGTTATGTGCTAGTAAGGTTACAGAGATATAGAAAATATTCTCTAAGGTCTTTTTCCCCCCAAGTCAGCTGGTTTTAAACCAGTTAATAAGCTAATAAAAGATTCAGAGTTCATTATACAAAACAGACTTACTTGTGATGATGAATTTTGGGTTCGTGATAAAACACTGACATTGGTAACAGCAGTGCAATTGCTATGGGACCCTGGTTCAGTGCGTTGAAAACCAAATTCTTCAAATCTAGTTCTTTCTCCTGCCATAGAAAGAATCACTGAGAATGTCACACATAACATAACTGGTAAGTTTAGAACTGTGTTTCCTAATTGGGTACTGTAGGATTCTTTGTTTATTGATTTTATTAAATTTTAAAGAATGCTATAAAAATATTTTTATTAAAAAAATAAGGAAATCAAAAATACTCTTACCCACAGTCTAGCCAGAATTACTTCCATTTTCTTGGTTCTCTTACATCTCATATTCTGAGATTTCTGTAATATCAACTTGTACTGTCGTATTTTTACTTTAGAACACAGCCTTTGAGCCTAAATGCTGTCCACAAGGACAGTGAGTAGAAAACTGATCAGGAAACACAGGCAGGATATCCTTAATTGTTGTAAAGTGAATGGATTCCAAGTCCAGAAATAAGTTTGAATTGTCTACAGTTTTAATATTTATAGAACCATGGCTGTTTTATGTAATTAGTGACTATTCTGGGTTATAAATGCCCATGAAGTAGGGGTCCTTTGGAGGTTACTTTTTTAGTACTATCCTCATTTAAACCTACCTAATGCTGTTTCACTCAAATGTCTTTTCTTTCTTCCCTGTAACAGCTGTGCAGAAGATTCTGACCTTATTTGAGACTTGCATGTAGGAGAATATCCATTTCTCCATTGATTCAGAGTGTTATGTACTAAAAATGGAAAGATAGGTGAAGTTTTAGTTCTTTAACAAAAATGATGTTTAATTTGTTTCTGGTTATAACTTCACAGAATTTTAATATGCCAGTTCAGAATTACATATAATGAAATGAGTATGTTTATACCAATGTGGAATACTCAACTGAAAATACTCAGAATAAGATTCTTGTAAAATATCTTTCACCCTACTTGTTATGTATTTGAACCCCAGGTTACAAGTACTGGATTACTGATAAAAAGAGCATGACCTATCACCAGTGACTAGGATTGATTTCAGGATTGCAAAATACCATAAAAACAATACATGAGATTTTTACATAAGGACACACAAGCATGGATATGCACATATACAGCCACATTAACACGTAAAGAATGGAACTGATAAAGCAGCATTTTTGAAGGACTTAATACCATACAGAATTTGAAAAGCAAACTCAAACAAATGGGAAGATACTGCTTCAAAAATACCATCAATACCAGAGGTGCTGTAGGCCCCTGGGGTAAGGGAAAGAGGCAATTACCTGGAGATCTGATGGGGGGAGGGGCGACAAGTGTCAACCCCTCAGCCAGGCTACCTGACGAGATTATCTATCTTAACCGTTTATCTGAGAGCCTTGAGCAGAGAAATGGATGGGTAAGTAGTGTGGAAAGGCAATACCAAAGTCCCCCACTTTGAAATTTTCCCTGCCTTCCTGTAAATAAGTTTGCAAATCGCTATACCTTGTGAAAAGGGTTCCATAAGTAGCAGTGGTATAAGACTTAACAGTGACTGTCAACTTTAAAGATGAGTATGCAGTCAAGGCTCCAAAGTCTAAATACCAACTATTTAGAAAAAGAACATCAAATGAAAGACCCACGTCAAATAGTAAGTGGATTCACAAAATACATAACATCTTTAAAACAGTTAATATTGTCAAAGAGGAGTAGGCAAAAGACCTCTTTATGGAGATCTCAGAAAATGTCATTAAATTTAAAGACAGTAATCACTAACTGGACTGAATAACAAAATAGGCACAGGTGAAAATCAAAATCAAGAGTTAGAAGTGGAATTACAGTGTGATGGAAAACAAAAGTGTAAAAGGACAGACCAAAATGAAGTATCAGGAGAAAACAAAATGAATGGGAGGTAATATTTAAAGAAATAACCAAAATTTCAGAGTCAGTATTGACCCTAAGATTTGAAGAGCTCAATTGAGGGCCAGAGTAAATGAAAAGAGTCATAAAGCTTCACAGGTTAGATTATTGAGTTTCTGGAGAAGGAAAGATCAGACTGATACAACAAATTAGATGTAAGAAAAAAATAGCACAAGAGTTTTGGGAAACAATTCCAGGCTGGCCACAGTATGTGTTATTCCCCACTTCACTCCTCCAAAAGGCATGTAGGGGAAGATGATAACCTGAACAAAGTAAGAAGGCATCACTGTAAGTTTACTTCTAAAAAGAGCTTATCAGAAAATTTAGGTTTTAATGAGCTTATGTGCCTGGCATGTAGGTTTTTTTTATAATAGTGCTTACTCTTTGATTTAATAGAAACATTTTTTTGCATATTCTAAAGCAATTCCAATTTACCCCTCTAAAAACCATTCAACACCCTTGTCTAAAGTGCACTTTTGTAAAAACATAAACCTTTAAAAAGGTGATGCCTTTAATTGAATTTTACTAAAATTTTCTTTCCTTCTTAGCCTCTTATCATAAGATTGCAAAAGACTTGTACTGTAATAGGAAATGTATGACAATTCAGAATACAACCCCACATGATCTCCTTACCTATCCTATTGATAATGATCCTCCCAGTTAGTTTCTAATTCCCCTCAGATTCCATCCCCAAACACCCTGACCCACTATCTCACATCTGCCTTTTATTTCCTTTTATTCAGTTGCTGACAGAGCCAGTCACATGCTAGGGAATATCTGGATACAAAAAAAGGAAGAAAAGCATTTTCCCCACACATAACGTGGTTTACAGATATCAAAAACTGCAACTAATTGTGATGGGAAAGTGAAGTTGCTATTGAGAGAAGTTAATAAAATTATATAATAGAAAACTACTAAGTTCTCAGAAAAGCTGCCAGGTGACGTGAAAGATGACAAATTTTAACAGAAATAGCTGGTGGCAAGGATCAGACAGAATGGTATGTTCAAAGGCAAAGCAACAAGGAGCAGGATTCGTCGGCAGCTGGACACAACGTAGTGCGCACAGTAAGGGAGCATGGTGGGAGAAAAAACAGGAGGCCCCCTACTTAGGTATGGCTTTATGGGCCCTGTATTAAGACTTCCCTCTTAAATGTTTTAAAACAATAGTGGTGGAGAGCAAATATGATGTAATTAGATTTGCATTTTGAAAAGAGCACTTATTAATGAACAGAGGGGAAATAAGTTATTGGCTATTTCAGCAGTCTAAATAAGGATCATTAGGCTGGACTGAGAAAGTAGAAGTAGATTTGAAACGAGATTGCTTTCACAGTGGGTTTAAATATGAGGAAGCTGGAGTGAAGAAGCCTGAACATTAGGTTTCTGACTTGAATAGATTACACTTTTCCTCTTATGCTAAAAGAATAATAAGCTTTATAATTTCAAGATTATAGAAAAGTTGTGACAGTGCAAAGGTTTTCATATGTCCTGTACTCAGATTCCCCAAGTGTTAACATGTTAACACATTAGTTTTATCTTTCTGAACTCCAGTGAAATCAAGCTAATGACATAGCCCTCTTGTCTAAATATGTCAAAAAACAAGGGTGGTGTTCTCATATTGTTAAATAACATGAGATGATGATAGAAATTAATGACATTAGCTAAATTACAATTTCTCCAGTTTACTTATGTTCTTTATAGAACATTTGTTGTATCTGACAGTTCACTGTCTGTCTTCCAAGACAATTATTTTGATGATCCGACCCCTTTAAATTGGCTTTCATTATCGTACAACTCTTCCACTAGAATTTGGCTGTTTCCTGCTTCATTGTTCCCTACTCTAATGGACAGTTTAATATAAATTTAAGTTCTGGCAAAGCAAACAAAAACCTGTGTCTACTCATATTCATACGCTGCACCCTTCAAGATTACCAGATGCTTAAATACATAACACTGTTTCATGTCTCCATTACAAATCGTCTTTGTTTCCATGTTACTTAAAATGGACTTTGTTAGAAATACAGAACCTTGAACTTTACCCCAGCTACGGAATCAGAATCTACAAATAACCTGCACATTCAAGAAGCAATGATTTGGAAATTTCACTCTTCCTTAAAATTCCAAGTGTTTAAGCTACCATTGACATAACCATCTTGCTAGAGTCTTCTTGACCTTTTCTCATCACCCTTAGCTATTCCTGTGCTTTCCTATAGCCAGAACTACATATTCCCTCTTTTTAGAATATGCTCACACGTGCTGCCCATTGTGTTTTAGTAGTTATTTGTACTTTTCCCTTATTAGACTTTGGTTTCCTGTGAACCTAGCACTTACCAGTCCACCTGGCACAGAGTAGTGCTCAATAAATGTCCCACTCTAATTTTACTTTTGTAGATATAGCACTTCCAATACAAGAAAGATTAATAATTATTTAAGATAAGATAGGATAAAGGATAGGATAGGATAAAGTCTTATTGCTTAATTTAATAGTAGGACGGAGGAGAAATACAAGGGAGTAACGAATAAGATACAGTGATTAATACTACAGCATTCACTTCAAATGCCTTGCATTTTCCAGGTCTTTCCATTACTTATGTTTCATTACATTATTGCTGTTACAATTAATTTTGTGTTGGCCCACTTAACTTTAGGGCGACATTGCCAAAATGGAACCACCTAAACTCACTTATCTAGCAGCATAAGTCAATTTTGCATATTCCCTTTTAATCATGGCACATAGACATATTTTAGTGTTATCTCAACTGTAATTATTTTTAATTTCATAACTTAATTGTTAAACTTTTATATGTTTGCCACACATTCCTCTGACGAGGCAATATCATGTAATTCCTCCATAGCTGGAGCTAGTTATCATGATCGTATTTCTATTATAGACACTTTGAATGTAATGATTTTATCAGATTTTTTTCTTTTTAAAAAAATTAGTCTCAGATTAAAAAGATGTGGTACATATACACAATGGAATATTACTTAACAATCAAAAAAATAAACCCATGCCTTTTGCAGCAACATGGATGGAGCTGGGAAGGATCATGCTTAGTGAAATAAGCCAGAAAGAAAAGGAAAAATACTGAATGTGTAATGGACCAGGGGAAAAAATGATAATAATAATGAACAGCTATATACTAGAGACATTTTACAGGGGTGGAATGGGATCAAAAACAGTGGGGGGACGGAAGTGTACTGGACGATGGTGGTGGCACATAGGTGGTTTGGTGATGGGAAGCCCACGGGGATTTATAACTGAGATGGGAAAAGGCACAAAATGTTGTAAAAATAAACTATTATTTAAAAAATATTTTAATCTCCAGATAAATGCTAAGAAATTATACCATAAAAAAGTACCTGATTGCACCTGTATTTTCCTATATAGGTTTTTCTCCCTAAGCTTAAGCAATTGTAAATTTACGGCTAATCTTGTTTCATTTTTCTCCCCACTTTTTGCTGAATTATTTAAAGCAAATCCCAGACATCACATGTTTTCATTTATATATGTCAGCTTGAATCTAAGACACTAAAGATTGGGTATGTATTTATATAATCATGCATTATTTCATATTAACAATTAACAATAATTCATTAATATCCAATTTCTGTTCTCAAATTTCTATTTTCAAAAATGTGTGTGTGTATGTCCTGAGTTGTTCAAACCAGGATCCCTGAAAAGCATACCATTTGCATTTGATTGATAAAAGAATAAACATTTTATAACTATCAATATAATTATACCATACATAGATGCACATTTTTGTTCTTTTATACAATTTAATATTCTTTGATAAATGTTTTCATCCTTTCATAAACTTTCAAGATCTTTTTAAAGGTTGAATAGTCTACTGTTGATTAGCTGTTTTCTTATTGTGCCCTTTAAGTTGTTTCTAAGTTTTCATTATCACAAGAAGCATTAAAGAAAATATGTTTGTGAATAAAGATGATTTCATATTTAGTGTTAGTAGATTCTTGAAACTGGATTTATTGGGTGAGAGTACAGAGTTAATACTGTGGTGAATAGCTGTGAATACTATACAAACAGGATTATTTACCCCCAATGAGCTTATTTAAAAACCTGCATAGTTTAAAGGCCTTGCATTGCATTTCACAATACTTCCCAAAAGGCTAGTATCAATTCTTAGTGCTACCTCAAATATTTGAGGATCCTGTTTTCACTACAAAGTTTTGACAGAATTGATTGTTTAAAGTTATTAATTGAAAAGAACAGTAAACATAACATTGTGGCTAGCACATAAACAATAAATGTTACGTATATTACCATTTTCTTTATCTTTGAATACATGAAGTTTTCCTTCAGTTGTAAGGATTAATTAACGAATATGAAACCTTTCCACCAGTGCTATACAAGGGATGTATCATAAGAATTGTTTGATGTCCTTTATTATTTTTTCCACACTGCTAGGAAAAACTATCTCATTACCATGTAATGAGTCTTGTGTCTCTAGGCTTTATATTTAGTTCCCTGGATGTGGCTACCATTAGTACCATAATGTTTTAAGGATTATAGCTTTATAGTACATTTGTTAGTTAACTCCTCCTCTACTGAACTCTTTTTTTGAACTCTTAAAAGTTTTCATGGTTATTCAGTATTTTCTCTGATACACTTAATAACTTTGTTTCAAAAGAAGAAGATTCCTGTGATTCTGACTAGAATGCATTATTAATTTGGTGAAAGCTGACGTCTTAAGTAATACTGTCTTCTGACAAGAGTATGATGTTTCTTTCCATATGTGCGTATATACATGTTCCTCAATAACTTTTAAAGTTTTATTCATACAGGTCCTTATTAAGTTTAATCCTAGATATTTTATACTTTCTTTGTCACTATGTCTAGGGTAATTTATCCCTCTACATTTTCTTATTGGTTATTTTTGGTATTTATAAAAGTTAATGATCTTTAAAATTTTTAAAATGTGCTGTTTAACAAGTATTCAACTGATTCTTGAATTTTTGAGATAGATGATTACTTCATCTCAAAAAATTTATCCTAGTTTATATGAATTTTTGATGTTTAAAAGTTCCCCGTTTGTAGATATTCAAAAATGTTTTTTTTCTTCTGTTGATTGGTTCTAAGCATTGACAGTACCCCCACTCCCATTCAGAAAATTTATGAGCTCTTAAATAAAATTCTGGAATTTTCTTTTGTAATTTTAGTCACTTATTTAAAGTAATTCTTAGAACCAGAACAGAATGTTTTCTAGTGCATTCTACAGAAAAAGTGTGTAACAAATTTACCCCTAAAAGATTAGCAATATTGTTCTTCCTTTATATAGTAATATGAATTATGTAGTCTGACTTACTGACCTATCAAAATTTTCCTAATGTAAATACAGTCTGTTACATGTTTTTATCATGTTTCCCTGTGGTTGGGCTGTATTCTCCAGCAGTTACTTTTTCTAGCAATTCTTTTTATATTTTTGTTTCTTCATACTAATAGATTTTAGAATAATTTTGTTAAATTAGCCAAATTCTATAATTAACAATACTGCATTCAACATATAAGCTATCAGAAAGAATTGATATCCTTACCTATCTTACCACCCATGGATGGTACTTTCACATGTATATTTAAATTTCCTTTAATATTTCATAATTTTCATAAGTATCACAGATTTCTTGTTAGCTTACTCTTTTATACTTTGTGTGTGTGTGTGATGTATGAAAAATATTAAAAAATTAAGAATTTATATTGTTAAAATTTATTTCCTTAAAAAGTATATGAAAGATGTAAAAGGTATAAAAAAAGTACAAGATGTAAAAATGACATACCAGGTGATGGAGATATGATACAGTCTCTCACACATTTATTTTCAGCAAGATTGCCTTTTATTTCAGCCTTTTTAAATAACGTTTCAAAGTGAAAATGAAGAGGCACATCTGAAAAATCAAGTAAAAGTATTTCAAGTAAAAACCGTTTATAGGCTATAGCATTGAGTGCTTTCTTTCTATAAATAGAACATAAACTTAGAAAAATAAGCAAAAGCTTGAAAATTCAGCAAGTATCAGAAGTGGTATAACCCTCTTTCCGGGTGTATCAGTGGCAGGATTTTCGAGATCACTGATTATGAGTACTAAATAAAGCTAATAGTGGACAGCTTCATAAATTAAAATAGTATATAAGATGAACAAAATTATAAATATTATTCACAGATGAAACAAATTCACCTAAGGTCTTTAATACACAGCCAAACCTGGGTGACTCTTGTTCTACCCTGTCCCTACACAACTCCACACTTGAAATAATGAGGTTTCCAAAATGAGACTGTTACATGTTTTTAATTAGTTGAAGGAAAACCACTATAATTCGGATGCAACATTTCATAAAACCAACACATTTCACATTTCTTTAGCATCAACAATCACAGAATCATTTTTATAAAGACTAAAACCTGCTGAGAAGCTCTCTTCCTTTAAATTCAATTTACTGTTTATATTTTACATTTTCATAACCAAAAGAGAAGACAAATAAAGTAGATGTGCTTCCCACTTGTTAAAGAGGGTTTTTTTCTATTAAGAATGTAAAAAAAAAAGTCTTTAAAAAACAATTATTAATCGAGACACCTAAATATTTCCGGAGGAAATAAAATTTTAAAGCAGTAGATATCCTGAAAGTTTAAGAAGGTAATTTTAAAGAAAATTAATTATGAATATATAAGTATAGACTCAGAAGATGTATGGATTTTAAAAACACTCTTCTACAAGTGATGTACTTTTTTAATGGCAAGATCCATTCTCAAGTGTGGACAAATTATCACTTATAAAGAGAATATTATCCATTCTACTATGTTTTCTTGAGTTGGGAAAATAAAGTGTAACTTGGCGAAGGTCTTTGCTCTACCCATTTACCTTCCTTAGTACTCACACTGACCTGTAAGTGTTCATCAAATTTTTTCATAATTATTATACTTACTGTATATTTCAATTGTCTTAAAACTACAATGCGAGAAACTCAAGGAATTTTATTTGTATGTATATTCCTAGCACTTACTTAGTACCCAGAGAACAATAAGTACTCAGATTTGTATTAAATGAACTCAAGAAGAAATGGAGAATACTAAATAGTAGGTGAGAAAGTCAATCTTAGTGAAAGAAAAATAAAAGGATTAAAATGAAGGGCATTTAGCTCTTAGGTTAAGTCATCAGAAAATAAATTTAGTAGTAGAAAAACAGGCAGTGAAGACTAAAGGTTAGAAGTGTGGCTCTACCTCACCTAAATAAAGTAAGCCTACCTCACTACCTCAGACCAAATCTTGCCTCCAGGTATTTGTGTCATCTTGAATACAGAAGTTTCAATTTCTCATATGTAACATAAAGAGGACAACTGTATCTTTAAGGGAGTTTTGCAAAGATTAAACAAGAGTATCTATCTTTAAGGGGGTTTTGCAAAGATTAACAAGAAAATATAATTTGCTTTCAGAGCTCAATGTATGCTAAGACCAATGTTGGCTGATTTTATATTAATTATTAAGATTTCTTAAAGGGTGTAATAAAACAATCCCTGTCTATGTAGCTAAGAAATCACTGGTCAAAACCAAACTTTCAGACCAGAAAGTAGGTACAACAAAATAGTGATTTACAACAAAAGCTATTTGAGATATTCTCTCATAAAAAGAAAATCCTGAGATAACCAATGAAAGAATGTTTCCTTTTCTACCCTACTTAAACTTCAGTTCCAATATAGGTAAGATTAGAAAGACTACCAACAGAAACCAAGAACAGGAAGCTTTAACGTAAGTTACGTTAGGGATGTGAGGATGCCTCATTTTTACTCAGTTGTAGATTAGAGATACTCTTAGAGATTCAAAGTTAATTATACCTAAAATGAATGAATTTCTCTCAGAGAAATTCAATCCTTATTATAAATGGAAAAATATTATATGGCAGTGAAAACTCCATGCAAAAGAACACATTAGAAACAATATAATTACTGAGAGCACAGCCATGTTACCAAAATGCTAAAAATTTAACTTAAAAAGTTAAAAGGCTAATCATTTCCCAAAGCAAATCAGAATGGTTTCCAAGGAACTAAAGAAACTTGCAAAGATAGAACATTAATTCAGCACGTTACTATATTAATTTCTCCATGAAAACTGTTTAGTTCTAATAGCCACTGACAAATAACTGATAAAATTTTATTAGGTTTCCAAATTTATAGATTATATTTCATCATAAAAATATTAAGTTATTTAGGATATTTTTTTTATAAGGACTCTTACCTGATGGCAATGATAAGATAGAATGGAAAGAAGAATCTAATTCTGATACATGTTCTTTTAACATCTGAGACTTTGAATTATGTTCACAGTGACTCCAAGTTGAAGGTGATCGTAGGCAGGGTAACTGTGTAGTATTTAAAGATGTTTCTTTTGAAGGCAAAGTCTGCAAGGAAAAAAATAACTTAAAGACTACATTTTCATTTTAAAACTGAATCAGACTTAGGGCAACAGTTATAGAACAGTATTTGACGCCAAAAAGAAGTTCTGATTTAGTAAGTCATCTTAGAGAAGGAGCTTCAAAATGTCACAAACTGAGAAAAGCCATTGAAGACCATGAATGTGATAAGCATTGGCTAGTTTCATTTCACGTTTCACACTGAAGAGCAATGTCTATGAAAGTGAGTCTTTTGCCCATCTTATGAAATTACAATAAAGAGAAATGAGTTTATGTAACTCTGGGTCAAAAGAAAATGGTTACAGACTAGTATGTAACGGTGAACAGGGGTAATGTTAACATTAACACTGGTGTATCTGTTTTCTTTCTTGCTAAAACAAACAATATGTTACAAGTCTTTAAGTTGTGATTTGACTCCAGGAATCTTAAGAAAACCACAATAAGTCAGACAAGTGATATGGCTACATTAAAACATTCTGATTAAATGCTAGATTTTTAAATTATTTTAAATTATTTCTTCTGGCTATACAATTAGTACAAACAAGGAAGAAATTGTACAGAGTAGAGAAAATATGTTAGGAATTAATAGTTTACTTTTACTCTTCCCCTCAACTTTAGCCTTACTTCCTATATAACACTAGGGCTGATTTATTTATTTTGATGTAACTGATATTTTAAATGCTTATAGTAATGGATATTTAGATGCTCTTTTTCAATATTTTTACCTTATAAAGTTATGTTTTGTCACCTTTCTTGAGTTTGCATGTTCAGGCTAACTTTGGCATTTTCCTGTTCCACAGAACCTCAGACATTGCATTCAACTAGGACCACTGGTTCCTTAAAAGTTGGGATTAAGGTGTTAAAGATTTTATTTACAGAACCTTACACAGAACGTAACATACAGTTAAAATGTCATGCTGCCCTATGAATTTTATCTCATCTGCTTAAAAAAAAAATCACTTTAGTAAAACTGGTGTAGTATATCCCTGAGACTATTTTTTTCTCTTAATATATACTATAATTTTTCAAGTAAATGGCTTATGTTTACATTCCACTTGCCAAGGTTAGTCACTCCTGACCACAAGGAAGGCTGAGTGGTTAAGTAAATTGATGAATTTTATAAAAACATTTAACATGTAGATACATGATTCTAAGAATGGGAGTCATTTTCCAGACTTATTCTAATGATATTTTATGTATATATTTATAGGAACAGTTCTTTCTTACCTTCACAAGATGCACTGGATCTTTTGACTCACTTCAAAGTTATTATTTTACAATGTTCAGAAAGGTATAAGGAACATTCATTTGAAATTACAAAGAAAATATGTGCTAACCTTCCTTTTTCCATATATGGCTAGAACATTATGAATAAAAGGTGATAAAATCTGAATATTTACCATATAATTTGTTTTCTCTTGCAATATTCCAAATCCAGGAAACCCATTAGCCAATTTGAAACTATCCTAAATAATTATGGAGACAAGTGAGGGGCATCTAGGAAAAGGCCTTTTTTTTTTCCCTGCAGAGAAAGTGAAGCCCAGGAGGCTGAAAAGGAATGGATGGAGAAATAAGAGAAAAAAACAGAAGATTCTTGCCAATAAAAATGCAAATGTCTAGAGGGTGTGATCAACAATACCATATGCTGCATAAGATTCAAACAAAATAAAGCCTGTAAAGTACCCACTGAGTTTAATTTTAATAACAAACATTTCAAATATACATGGGAATATATAGTGTATAGGGAAGGTATACAAGAATAAAAAAAAATACCTATACTCACCATCCTACTTTGGGAAGCAACAGTATCAATACCTTTGATGCCTTCTGCTCCTATCCTGCCTACAGGAGCCTGCAGCACCGAGTGCTACATTTCTCCAAATCCTCTGTATTCTCCTTCCTACTCTTAAAATTCCTGACTTTCAACTGCGCTGACTCACAGGTTTCCTTTCATCTAAATACTACTAAATTCCAGCTAGAAGCCCATCAAGAGAACTCATGTGCAACCTCTGGAAAGTGACCATGGCTGCTCGGAACAACTGGGGGGGTACACACCACCATAACAGTGGGGGGGTGAGAGTAATGCTTACTAGATTTTTAAAAAGCGTGATGAGCCTAGTCCAAGACAATAATGTAGAGCATAGTTATTATGTCTAGAATATTTCAATCTGCTACAAGATAAGGAAATACATTTAATTTTGTTTATGTCACTATAAATGCAAATGGGGTTTCTACACATGTACTAACCCTATAAGCTAACACAATTTGCCTCCTTAATTACATTTTTCTGTCACAATTCCAGGAGTAACTGCTATCTGAATTTTAATTTTATTATTTCCTGATTTTTCTTTACAGTTTTTCTACAAAAGTATATATAATCCATTTAAGACTATGATTTTAAAATGTGTAGATTGTTAAATATATCTTCTTGCTTTATTCAACATTATGTGTATGTGATTCACCATACTCCTGTTTATAACTGTGTAGAGATTGTCTTATGTAGTTGTAGTTGTACTAGTATGAACTATGCTAGTGTGAATATTAGTATTTTTATTTTATTTCCTGGCATATGGGCTTAAGAATTTCCTTAGAACATTGCTAGAAATGTAATTGCTGCATTACACAAATGCATGAATGCATATATTCAGCTTAATTGGATGACACATTCTTAAAAAATAGTTGGAACTGATTTACCCTCCCAACAAGGACCTTAGTTGTCAGTGCCCCAGAACCATGGGTATTAAACTTATTTCTGCAAATCTCAGGCATATAGTATTTTCATGGTAGAAATTTATATTGCCATTTACTACTTAAGTTGAACCTTTTCATAACATATAATTGACATTCGTATTTCCATTCTTTCCTTATTTTTTTTTAAATAAGGTAACATTGACTTACAACACTATATGATTTAGAGGCATCAGATCACACCCTTCAGTGTCACCACACCACTCACCGTGAAGGCACCTGTTCGCCCTTCAACATGGTCTATCCCTCCCTGTTGTACTCTTCCCCTCCCTCAATTCTACAGGAAGATTATTCTAAAGTTATTTTTTTTTCTGATTCTCTTATTTTCCTATATGCCGTGTATTAGTGAAACCATTCAATATTTGTCTTTTTTCTGACTTCACTTAGCATACTCCCTTCCAGTTCCATCCATGTGTTTCAAGAGGCAAAGTTTACCTGTTTTCAATAGCTGAGTAATAATTTTTTTTTAAAGATTTATTTATTTGTGCATACAGAACTGGGGTACAGGCCATAGGCTCAGGGGCGGTGAGAGGCTTCACCAGAGACAGCGGGGAACAGAACAGGCAGATCAACGAAGTACACTGCTGAGGGGAGCAATGGGTGGGTCAGGAGAGGTCTGCCACACCATGTGGTCACCTCCGGGGCAGGCGGGAATCGAACTCATGCAGAAGCGGCTTTGGATTCTCAGTGCAGTGCTTTAACCCGCTGTGCCACCAGGGAGGGCAGCTGAGTAATATTTTTAAAAAGACTTTATTTATGCATATAGAACTGGGGTACAGGCCAGAGATGATGTGGGTGAGAGGATTCACCAGAGACAGAGTGGGGAGCAGAACAGGAGCATGTATTGAAATAAACTGCTGAGGGGAGCAGCGGGCAGGTCAGAAGAGGTCTGCCATGCCAGAGGGTCGCCTCCATGGAGGGGAATTGAACCTGTGCTGCAGTGGCTGTGATAGCTTGATAGTACTGCACCTTAACCCGTTGCACCACCAGAGAGGGCCCCAACTGAGTAATATTCTATTGTGTATATAACCCCATCTTCCTAATCTACTAATATGTCTTTGGGCACTTCAGTTGTTTGGATAGGTTAGCCACTCTAAGTAGCCAAAAACCATAAATGTGGGGCAAATCTTCATTACTTTGGTTTAGGTAATGCAGTCTTGAATATGACACTAAAGCTGTGACCAACCAGAAAAAAAACTAAACAAAGTTAACCAAAATTAAAAGCTTTTGAGCATCAAGAGACATTGTTAAAATGAAAAGACAACCTACATGAAATGTCATGTTCAAGTCTTTTGTTCATTTTTAACTGGATGACATTTCTTTCATTAGGTCTTCATTATCTTATTATGAGTTCTGTGATGCTTACATAAGTGGTAAATATCTTCTCCCTCATGGTTGGTTGCACTTTCATTTTCTTTAACAAGGCCTTCATTTTAGTGTAATCTTACAACATCATAGTTTATTAAGATATTTTTCTATTTTGAGATCATGTATCTTATAGCATCTTCAAAAATGCCTCTTAATGTTTCCTTTTATATTTTAGCTGTATAATCTACCTTTCAGTGATTATTGTACCGATGGTCCCCAGTTTAGCTTAGTCTGTGTGGTTTGCTCTATATTTTGTCCTTCTGATGGTGCAAAAGCAATATGCATTCAGTAGAAAGCACACATCATAATATGGGTTCCAATACTCTGATGATGCTCACACTCCCAGTCATAACTGATCACATAAATGATCACAGGGTAAATAGCCACTCTATTTTTACATTTTTTAGTACAATATTCAATAAATTATGTGAGCTATTCAATATTTTGTTATGTTAATCTTTGTATTAGGTGATCTTGTCCAAATAGATGAATGTATGTGTTCCGAACATGTTTAAGGTATGCTAGGCCAAAGCTATGATGTTCAGCAGGTAAGATGTATGAAATACATTTCGATTTATGGTATTTCCAACTAATAATTGGTTTAATGGGACATAACCCCATTTGTAAGACAAGGAAGATACGTACATTAAAAAAGAACAGAGAGGCCCTCCCTGGTGGCCCACTAGTTAAAGTGCAGCACTGCAAGCGAGCTGCAGCCGCTACAGTGTGAGTTCATCCCCCTCCAGAAGTGACCCACATGGCACAGCAGACCTATCCTGTCTCGCGGCTGCTCCCCACTCTGTCTCTGGTGAATCCTCTTACCCCCTACCCCCGTGCCTCTGGCCTGTACCCCAGGTCTGTATGAATGAATA